TTCGACCCCTTACCAGTTCGAACTTGTAACAGTTCGATTCTGTCCGCGTTCTGTTCTGGTAAGTGTGCGAAAAAAGGACTGTTCTGAAAATCAGTTCGATTTTAGGTCTGTTCGATTTTGAAAACGTTCGAATTCGTCGTACCCCCCCCCCTCCCCCTAATATATCGGATGTCTGCTAGTTCCACTTACACTAAATCCATTTCCACAACATAACCGATCACAATCTCCCTGAGTATGAGTCTCGTTTCTCCATGCACAAACTCTTCCGGCCACGGATTTCACCTTAAAAAACGTTAATGTTCGTTGTATTCCCCCTATTACTGCACCTTGCAAACATCTGGAGAAGCTTCCAGATAAATCAAATCAGTTGTTTTCACAACGGAATCATCTGTATATAACTTTGCACGGGCATATCTATAATTGAGAAACATTCTACTTGAAATCTTCTTGATTATCACCTACTTTTCAACAAGATAATCTGTAATATGTTCCAAAGTTGCTGTTCGTTTCCAACATGTTTTTTGTTGGCATGAGCCTGATACTCCATGACATTTGCAAGAAGATATCAGCGTTTTCTTTATAGCCTGAAATGTTGTGATCTTCTTTGGTTGTATGATGATCTATACTGCCGATTCCAAACCCTCACACTCACCAATCTTCCTGCTTTCAAGTTATGCTTCTCCACCTTTCGCAACAATGAATTCACTGCGCCGACCTTTGTGAGCAGTTTTCGACTTGCCGTTATTCCGTGTTGGACTCCATGTGTACATCTAAAGAATTCCCAACCGGATCTCATTAACCGTTTCTTAAATGTTCCTTTGACCTACCCGCCGAATTCATACTCATTCTGCCCCATATGATTGTTACACGCACAATCGTCAATCCATCCTTGTGCGCAAGCTGTCGCAACACCCCAGGCAGCAGATGCAGATGACAACGCCCAGATCAATGAAGATTCACGAAAACCTGGATTTGAAAATCTTCTGGAGATGGTTGAAATTTGAAACCTACCTTGCCGTAACAATGGAGGATCATGCATTATATTACCAGCCTCTGAACAATCCCACTGCTGAAACCTCAAACGGTTCGCACAGTTTTGTAAACCCTCCTGAATCCCTTCGAACGCAGAGATTACTGTAGCAGGATGAGAACGGCAAGCGAGTTGGATAGATCGAAGTGCTCGAGAATGGAGAAGATCTGACGGGCATCCCTGAAGGAAGAATACTGTTTTGAAATTCGAATTTAAAGTTTATAATTTGAGTAGAATGATTGCTTTGATTCTGGTGACTCATACAAATTCGAAAGTACAAAACTTATTGGAATTCGGGCAGAACATAAATGTTTTATAGCTCAACTGGTTTGATATGTGAATCACCTGATAATGAAAAATTGAAACCTCCAGAGAAATAGTTTTGGAATTTAGTGAAATACGGTATTAGGTGTATAGAAAAGAAAAGAACATAGTTTGAAAAGAAGTTTTGATCGATTCTGTAAGTTTTCTTTAAAAGTTTTCTTAAAAGTTATTATTGAAAACTCTTGAAATACATACCGTATTTCTTCTAACAGAAGCCCACCCTAACCGTCAACTTTGAACTCAATTATTTCGATTCCTGTTATAGATATCATAAAATTTGTCAACTGATAAAATATTGAAGATATTATGAAGATTAATTTATTAGTTTACTAGTTTTTAATATCTTTCACAGGAATCAAAATAATTGAGCTCAAATTTGACTACTTGGGTAGGTTTCCCTTAGAAGAAATACGGTAATCATGGAAAATAGTTTAAAAAAGGGAATATAAGGATCAAGGATCACACCTGTTTCAGTATATTAGGCTTTGGTGGTTGAACGATTTTGTTTCCACCAGTCCTTGGAATATCATTTGAAGCCAAAGAGCATAGAATAAAAAACGTTGACAGCGTCGTCGTTCGAAAGTAGAGAGCTCGCATCACGCTGTGTCACTTCGGAAAGTGCGTGTCTTGAATCCCTTGTTTCTCTCCGATCTTTCACCTGTCTCTCATCCACACACTATTTCCGGTACAAGACACCTCAACATATACCGTACGCTCTAACGAAACCTGAGAACGAAAAAAGTGGGCGGAGTCTTGAGCGTCTCGAAGCAAGAAGGAGCGGAGGTGGGAGATGAGGATTTTGTTTATTTTCTTTGGTTTACGACGTGAAAATCGGGTCTATTTTCTAGAAGGAAAACCGACATCGTCGTCTTCTTTTTCTTCTTCATCTTCTTTACCTTGCGTTAAGAAAAGATGACAGATTTTTATGGCTCTTTTGCGCAGAATCTTATTCAGACCATCCTTTCTGGCCAATTATGCCATAAACCATAAACGAAGTGCGTCGATTTCTAATTGTTGGCAGCAGAAAAATAAAAAGAACCATGCAAAAAAAAATCTGAAGAGAACAATAAGAATAGGGGAAGAATTTTTGTTCCGATGTTTCCTTTGACATAGATTAAACTTCTGATTTTGACCGATTCCGAACGAAATTTGTTTAAAAATTCTTCTCTGACAAATTTTAATGCCGTCTTCAATATTTCCAACTTCCATTTTATGATGATCATAAGTTAGAAAATCAAACTCTTTTGGATAGATTGTGTCTCCAACCATCAGCACATACTCTCTCTCTCTCTCTCTCTCTTAAAAGTTCTTAAACCTAGTTTTCTGCAAAGACTATTCAATCTTATTACCTTCCTATTTTTTACCTCAACAAAATCACCCTTGTTTCGTATTTTCCGTTTTTCCTTCTTTTCCTCTGACTAATCAAAACGAATTCAGAAATAGAAAGGAGGAATCGTCTCGCATCGTAAAACGGACACAACATGAGATTGCCTATATAAATTCCATGCCGTCTACATGTCATACTGTAACTGAGGGAAAGGAAAACAGAAAAATTGACCTCGACTATCGGTAAAAGTAAACTTTATCAGTTTCAGATACCAAAAAACAATTTTAATATTTTTAGGAATACTGCACGGTCTCCCACAAAACATTTCCGAACTGCAAAGTAAATTTTGATCTACAGATAGGCACCACAACAAAATTTTCAAAATAGATTTTTCCCAGTTTTTATTGTTGGATTGTCTTCTCCTACTTTATAGAAGTCCATTCCCAAAATTTCTGCGAAAAATCTTCATTCAATCCCGAGTTACACACCATTTTGTACCAGACCTCAATGTACTGATTTTCTCCTCATTTTTTTGCGGTGCGCAGAAAAGTGGGCGGGGTTTAGAAGCTTGCAATCCTGCGGCGCGGAAAATTCGTGAAGGAAATTAAAGAAAAAGCTATTAGACGCGAGAGAGACCCGAACCTCCGCCTGCGTCAGATCGACGCGCGCGCTCCCACTATCCAGTCGGGCACGGCTGCACTCGCGGTGGTAGCCTTAGAGGGGAAATATGAATGTGCGACTCTTCGCTGCCTGCTGCCTCTTTCCGGTGTTGCTTTCTTCCTATGTTTTAAAGAAATTGATCTGTGAATGATAAGGAAACAGACGTCTAGCATTTTTCGGCGACAGTAGAATTTTTTATTTAGGATTGTATTCGGTGCCAAATTTTTCGTAGAATCTTATGGTAAAAAGAAAATCGGGGGCACCCCCCACCCCCCCCCCCCTGTTTCACCTTCAAAACTTCCAAAAACCGGAAATTTTGAAAGTTTGGGATTTTGGGATAGGTATTAAAACTACTTAAAGGTTATCAATCTTTCTGAAAATTGACACAGGTGTATGTACACAAGACTTAGTTTTACCATATTATGCAAAAAAAAGTTGGGGTCATCGCTGAAATTTTTCTTTTATTTTGGCTGGAACTTTGGCTGAAAATTGTGTTTTACGGTGACAGTAGAAATTCTATTTTATTACAAAATCCAATTCCCCAGTTCATAATCTAGCAGAATCCATCGACAAATCTGGGGGCATCCCCCCTTCATCTAACACTTTTGCCCATTTTGTCAGTCCGACTCCTATTTTTCGAAGTTTTCGAATCAAAATAATAAAAATATTGAAAAACTGATGGTTCCATTCGATTTATCGCAGTCGATTACGTAGGGACAAGTTTTAACCCAAAAAATAATGAGTTTCTAACGCCCGGTACAAGACTTCAAAGATGGACTTCTGAAAAGGGGAGAAAAATTTGGTCGCCCCGCCCCTTTTCATTGCGGCACCTATCTACAGAAAAAAAAATTGGCGAGATCACAATTGCAGGCCTAAAGCCATATTTTTAGGAGTTTTTATCTGATTTATGAAGATTCAAGAAGATTCAAATGATTCTTTAAAAATTAATTAGTGGTTTTAGAATCCTGTATGGTCCTTTTCCGGAAGAACATATTCCAAAAATGGTCAATTTTCCAGATTTTTAACAGAAAAATGTATCTCCTCTTTCAGTTTCTGACGTTTCTAGAAGTTCTATAGCTTAAAAGAACCGCAATAACTTATTCTTCATTTTGTATAGATGAATTTTTGATTCATCTCATAAAACTTTTTTTATAATCAAAAAACCACACGAAATTGCACGAAATCGCATTTTTGCTCTGTTTTTTAATTATAAAAAAAGTTTTATAAGATGAATTGAAAATTCATCCATACAAAATGAAGAATAAATTATTGCGGTTCTTTTAAGCTATAGAACTTCTAGAAACATCAGAAACTGAAAGAGGAGATACGTTTTTTCTGTTAAAAATCTGGAGAATTGACCATTTTTGGAATATTTTCTTCCGGAAAAGGACCATGCAGAATCATTGAAGAATCATTTGAATCTTCTTGAATCTCCATAAATCAGATAAAAACTCCTAAAAATATGGCTTTAGGCCTGCAATTGTGATCGCGCCAATTTTGTTTTCTGTAGATCAAAATTTACTTTGCAGTTCGAAAATGTTTTGTGGGAGACCGTGTACTGTACAAAATGAAATTGAAGAGTATGAGCTTTCAATTTAAACACCTCTGTTAAGGTGCGCTTTTATTACGAATGTGTCGAAACTAGACGGCACCTTTCTATTTTTTAATATGTCGGATGTTTTTTCAGTTAACTCCTTTTCCAAATGAAAATGCAACTCGGTAGAGCCCTATTAATGTAAGCTTCAAAATCTGTACTTCAAACGCTTGAAAAACATAAATTTCTTGTCTTTTTAAGAACAAAATCAGTTAGTCCAACTTTGGGCTTCTATGGAAAGATGCGCTGTTGAGACTCTCGGACTGCATTTTTATTAGAGTTTTCTCCTATTACGATATTCACGGTTTATTATTGAACGGGAGTTGGATACTTCGGAGAAGGAGGTGGTGGAACAGCTGCTGGAGGTGGTTGAGCATATTGTTGAGGAGGTTGGACATAAGAAGGAGGAACTGCGTAGCTTGTTGGACCAGAGACCGGAGGAGATACATAACTTGCGGAACTAAACTTTTTAGAAAGCAATTAGAATACTATTTTCAGATGAACTTACCAATGATTTGTTTGTGGGCATGAAGGCCCAGGAGGGCAACATCTTCCACTACTGCTCCCACCGCCCGTCAAGTTCGGTAGACATCCATATGAATATCCGATGAAAATGCTACAAAGGAAAACGGAACATAAACTGATCCGTTGCATAATGAGTCGTGGACAAGCACTATGGACGATGCCATTTCGCATTTATACCTACAGGTGGACCGGGCGAATTAAACGGAACGGACATGAAAAACCGCAGAATGTACTGGTCTTGGTCGACTTTTTGTGATAGAATCATCGACTTTATTATGATAATAATGAGGCGTGAAAACGGGATAGAAGAGATGAATATTATTCAGGAGAACGGAAAATGAATCCGGATGAAGAAATCTATACGATCATTAACATATTCGATTATGTGAAGGTAGTAACGTATTTGAATCAGTTAGATTTTTCGAAATATTCCAAAGCATTTTATAGCTGTTTTTTCCTATCGAGATGACGCCCGCACCGTCAGGGTGTTCACCCGTTCGCGCCTCTTCAGCCGACATCTAACAGTTATCCGCCAGTCCCGCTTAGCCTGTGGTAAGAAAAAAGAAAAAGTTATTCATTTAAAAACACCGAATGTCTAACACATAAAAATTAATTCATAAAACCCGACATTGACCAGCGCATTATTCAAAAATCTGTATTAATATTAGTACTTCTGTATACTTGATCGAGATCTGCCTTCTTCCGTAGGGCTGCATCCGGAATCCGAATCCAATTGATCAGCCAAATCTTTCAAATTTATCCGAAACTCAACATTTCCAGCTTGATCAACATTTTTTATGGATGGTCCGCCGTTCATACTAGCGAGAGATCTAAAAAAAAGGAATACCGTAGAAGAGAAGAAAAACAGAAACTTACGATAAATTTCCATGAGAAGCGATAACTTTCATTTTCTCTACTGTTTCACAAACATCTTTCTCATAAGTCTGAAAGTTATTTTAGTTTTTTGAGATGACGATAAAAAGACTAAAACCTTCTCATTAATCTTCTTCGAGTACATGTAATTTCTTCGTTTTTTCGAGATTCCAATCCAGAAAACCTTCGAGAAATACAGACAAATTTCAGTGATTGTGATAACTGACATTCCCAAAAACATTCCCATATTTCCTCCAATGTCACCTAAATTTGAATTGTTTTTCATCTAACAAGCTCTGTTTTTGTTTCTTACTGAGAAGTTGTGTAATAGATGCGTCCTGTACTTGATTATACTCTGTGTATGACATATCTCTGTAGAAAATGTTGATCATTTGAAAATTGGCTCTGAATAATCCCATAATTAGTTTGTTCAAGGTCTGTAACCTTACTTCATATGTCCGACGGTCCAATTCGAATTTTTGGATCTTAGCCAATTGAATGCCCCCGAAGAGAATTGGCTTCCATAAGAGTTATAGGCACGGAATACCAAGCTGTTGCATTGTTGAGCACAGTGTTTACAAGTGGGAGGTATGAATTCCAGTTTTCCGTTGTTGTGGTCGCTGAGCTTTGTATCAATACAAGTGAAAGTCTCATAGGGAGTGCATTCTTTCAACTCTGAAATAATCCAATTCCAGCTTATTAGCCTTAAAATAATTCCTACTTCTTTCTATGTTGTAAAGAGCTGGTGTGCATCCACAGCTGTCCAAAAAGTACTTAGCTTTACAAAGAGCCAAACAGTTTCCACTAGTGTACGGTAGTTCAGATTTAATTTCAGATGGATATTCCTCGGTACAATTTCCCCATTGATGAGATGGCAAAAGAACAAACTGAAATCACCCTGATTGAACACTTTCCATCTTTCACCATGGACTCACTCTATCTCCGGAAATAGCAGAATAAGCAACTGAATTTGGAGACACTGTGAATTCGTCAGAAGCTAAATGGGGAACTGTTTTAGGTGGATGGACGAAATATCTGAATCCATCTACAAAAGAATTCGTGAAAAGAGCATCCATCGAGTCATTGACCCCGTCGAATTGCTCTTCGAGATGTGCATCTAAAGTGATCCCTAAACCCGCTTGAATGCCAGGTTCTGTTTGTTTATGCATGTATAATTTTGGACTTTTTGAGAGATCCAATGTATAACATTTTCCCAACGGAGTCAAAACTGGAGTAGCCAGGGAACAGCAATCGAATCTAAATTTTTGGATTCTTGATTCTTCTTTTTTTAACGATTTTTTACTTACAGTTCTCCTTGAAAACTACACAATTTGAGAACATCTTTGCATTCAAATCCTGCATCCGTGAAGAAGTTTTCAGGTGAAAAATCTGGATGGTTCTTTTGATACATTTGAAGATCTTCGTTTCCTTCGTGCAAATTCTGTCTATCGGAGCTTCCAAGCAGAGTAGGGATTTCAGTGAACCATTGCATAAGATAATTTATCATTTCTGGATGCACATCTCCTGTTTTGTTGATTTCTGAAATTTGAATAATAAAAACAATAACAACTTTTTTAGAAGAGTACCATGGATGTAACTTTTTCGAATGGGATTCAAATTGCATATAGTTACAAGTGGAAAGTCCATGCCATCTTCGTTGATCAGAAAGGAAACCTGAAAATTCTACCCATACTGAAAACACACGTGAAAAAAAACTTACATCAGATACTGTAGGACTAGAAAGATATTCTGAGGCAAGAATTACAACCTGAGTGATTAACAATCCAAGAGCACAAGATACCATTATGAACCAGAATAGAGTCGCCCATCTTTAATTAAATTGTTATGTTATACAAAAAAATATTTTTTTCAATTTACCGTTTTCCTTTGAATATTCTTTTTGGTCCGTGCATTGTAGTTGTTTCTGAAATCATTTTATTAGAACTCTTTCTTTTAAAAATCTTAACCAACCACAGAAATGTTGAGTTTCCCGTTCAACTGAAACAGTTCCCCCGGCTTTCTTTATTCTTTTTAATTGTGCCGCTGGAACTTCTATAACCATATGTGACCTCGAACCATTGTATCGAAGATTACATTGTGCAGATGTTGTTGGAGATCTGAAAATAACAAAATCATGCGCCAGCGTCCAAAAAAATCACTAACATGTCTCCAGAAGAACCAGAAGAGAAGCTGACCAGATATTTGTCATCGTTTTCAAATCCTTCATTCCTATATGATCGTGAGTTCATAGTGCTAAAAATAAAAATGCGGTAAGTGAAAAAAGAATGACTCCAATTTTTGAGGGAAAGATAACAAAGTGTTTTGATTATTGCAACACATGGAGTGAGAAAAAATTTCAAGCAGTGGAAAAGTGATTGATATTGAGCTGATAAGATAATAGAGGTGAAAGAATGGAATCTATATTAAAATAACGAAAAAGATTCCGAAAAATTAGATATTTGGAGAAGAAATTTGTTTCTTCAAAATGAAAAATATATGTTTTCAAAAATTGAATGTATCCCAAAAATAATTCAAGTAAATCAGTTTGAACTTTCCTTTGTGTTTGAAAAAAAAACCTTCCGACCCTTTTTTAATCCTCTCATATTTTATAAGCGGTCTGAATCGAAAATATATCAAAACTAATTGGTTTTAAAATGGCTGAAAAATCTAAACATGACAATTTTAAAATTGAAAATTCAGTTTTCTGCTCTAAAAAAGCTGGAGGTGTTGGTTTAAAAAAACCAAGAGTGATTCATAGAAAATCAAGAAAAGAAACCCCTCAATTAAAAATCATTTACCCTCACTTTCACATTTTTATCAGCAATTCTACAGTATCCAATCGTTTCGCAACTTGCCTCTTATCAGTTCAAAGTTTTCACACCCTCTGAAATTGATCCCAAATCATCGTGGATCAAAAGAAAAACGACTCTAATCACTAACGCCTCGAAACCTTATCAGCGATAAGGAAGTCTTATAAAAGATGTGGTCACTTACTTAGCTTTCAGTTTATCCAATACTTTTTTTGAATATTTTTTTTTCGTTTCTTTCAGTTTTTCTTTTGCCAAAAAACGTTCAGTTCTATGTTTTCATTCGGTTGAAAAACAAAATGAATACTAAAGAAAGAGCAACAAAAAACTAAAAAGATGCACTGACTCTAGCTCTTTTTATACTCCCGAAAATTCTCTTTTGAATAGGTGGAGAAGGGTTGTACGCTTCTCGATTTACAGTATTTGCAAACATGAAGACGTACGAGTATTCTCTGTCGTCTCTTCATTTCATATACTATCTCTCTTCTTACTATTATGATTACTTTCTTTGAATATACTTTGAATATGTTAGTTCAAAGACGAGCCAATTCTGATTTATCATAAGTTTGACCGGTGAGATTTCAAGGTCGGAGTACCAAACATTTGAGAATTCAAAAACGTTGAATTGGAGAACATCAATAAAGGAAGAAAGTCATATGTTGATCCATTTGAAACAAATATACAATCAGCTTGTGACAGTTGTAGTAAATACCAATATTTTCATATTTTCATCAGATTTAACACTCACAGAAGAAGAAATAAAAACAGGAAATCAGTGAAACGCACAATTTCTTTTAATTATGGGAATCGAAACAGTAAAATTTCATTTCATCATCTCAATAAAGGGAGCAAATGTGGGCGGTGATTGGTGGAGTTACTATTTGATTTTTAATTTCAAACTCGTCGGCTCATTGGATAAAATTGGAAAATCATGAGTTTTGAGAGAGGAAGGTTCCCATTTTATTAGAGAAATGCAGCTCATAAACACATTCCTCGTCGGTGTTTGACTCGCAAAAAATACCGTAACCCCGAAACAAGTTTCGAAGCTTCCTTGAACGAGAAACCGAGAGTTACAAAATTTTCAGTTGATGGACAAGGAACTATGATTTGTTGGAAGCTTCTGTGATACCGTAAAACCTGTGATAGAATGACCCTCTGGCGTTTAATTTTGAGCAAATTTTTCTTGATTCCTTTCAAAGGAAAAAGTTATCAACGGATAAATTGTTTTTCAGAAGTTTTATGTCAGTTGACACAGAATTGATATCTTTCATAGGAATTAAGATAATTGAGCTCAAAGCTGTCAGTCTATGGGACTTTCCTATTAAAGGTTTTACGGCATCTCTAGTTTTACTTCTTCTTGTGTTTCAAAATTTTTAATCATTATTGTGAATATGGAATATTCTCCTTGATAGTAAACTGTCATGGAGAAGTTGATTTTTTGAATTGCTCTTTCTAAATTTTCTATCTCCTCATGGTTCATTCAGTTTGTTCCGTATTGACATCAACGTTTCGTTTTGGTTTACCTTCTTTTTAAAGTAGTTGTATGGCACTTACTCTTTGACGCCACATTCTCTTTGACTACACTTTTAAAAATTTCTTATTTTTTTCAATTTTTGTGGGTGTAAGTAAAGTTGTATATCACTTACAACCAATGGATTCTTGGGTACCGTAAACACTTTAATAAAACTATTTTAATACAATATTTCCTTAGTTAATTACACAGGAACTGAGATAAATTTACTCAAAGTGGATTACGGTACTTGAGCGCCCACTATTTTTAAAGTTTCGTTAGAATTAGGTTAAGGTACCATGCGTTGCAGATTTCAAAGCAGAAGTTTTAGTATTTTATGACGTTGAGAGAATGCAAGAATCTGGATAAGTTTTCATTGAGGACTTGAATACTGTGGGTTTTTTTCATTAAGATATGGTTCTCATGGTGTTTTCCCGGATCCTTTGAAAGTTATTTTCTTCCCGCTTTTTTTCGACGAAATGTAGACCTCTATGTGGTTTGATTTTTTACAAGATTACCAGTTGCGATATGCAGAAACATGTTTTCTAGTTTGCTACTTTCTGAAAAGACTATTCAGAACGAATACATATTATCTAATAATATCAAAATACGTTTCTTGTTTTGAACTCTCGTATAAAATTCTATAACTACAGTAACGACCCCACTCTTCACCTAAAATGACCTTTAACTGTTTGTCATCCACCTATTTTGCAGGAATTCAAAAAACCCTGATAGTGGACACTGTGTGGACATTCGAGTTCAAACCGGCAAAGCCATAAAACTGCGTCCAGGACGTCGCTAACTGACCAGTCCGTGTCTGTGCACCGAGGCCATTTCAGATATGACTAAAAACAATTTTACGATCTGTTCGCTTCGAAAATGCGCCTAGAATTTGTAGTTTAAGATAACGTTATCGTGTTTTAGAGCGTAGTCGAATTAAAATAAAAGTGACGAATGGAGGAACTGGAAATGCAACTTATGAATTTCGAGTTATTTTTTGACAATAAAATTCAGAACGAAAGATTGCGCAATTTATCCTCTCTACGATTCCCTCTGGTCCCATCTGAAATTCTTCAGAATAAAAGTTGGATTTAAATATAGAATATTATCTTTACATTTTTTGTGTGCTGATATCAGTTTTCAGTTACGAACTGATAAGAATGAGTGAGCTGTTAAGGGGCACCGCCTGGTGCGCTCCTTTAACTGACTCTGACCGGTCACGGAGCGATCGAATCGTTTCCGGCGGACACCCATTAAACGGTTGGAGTCGTGGAAGAAGCATCACAGAAATGCAGTGGCTACACAAAACTCAAAAATTGTTCAAATAGAAATAGTTATTAATAACTTTGAAGTTTTGGTCTATAATTCTCGAGTAGATTCTAGACAGGGATTACTGTAGACATAGTATTAACTTACCACTTACTTAGATGATACCTGTTACGTCCTTAGGCTTCGTCCTTAATATATACCGTAAAACCTCTAATAGAACGACACCCGGATCGTCCACTTTGAGCCTATATATCTCATTTTCTGTGAAAGATATCAAAAAGTGGCCAACTAGTAAAATGTTGCTGATATCCTGATAAACATTTTACTAGTTAACTACTTTTTGATATCTTTCAAAAGAAGTGAGATATATAGGCTCAAAGTGGACAACCCGGGTGTCGTTCTATTAGAGGTTTTACGGTACTTCCAAATATGCAGAAGACAATTAATTTATTTTGAATCTGCAGCAATCTTTTTTTAAAATCATTATGAACCAAGCTTGTCAAAAACAGAACAAAAACGAACATGTGAAAATTTCAGAAGGATTTTTTCCTTATTCCATCCATGAAAATTTTATAACCGAAAGGTAAACACAAAGTTTGAAGATCGTTTTCAGGTTGAAAAACTTTATTCAAAATAAAAATAATAACTCGTTAATGTTTTTCATTGTCGGGAATGGTTGACTTTTACATAATAAAAGTGAATTTGTTTTCTAAAAAAATACCCATAATTAGTGATGGATGACTATGATATTAATATAAAGATAATAATATTAATGTGTGTAATACATATTTATATAATTTTCAATTATTTCGGTGACTGAGAATTCGGAGGTTTCGAAGGAGGAGATGGCGTTTGAGAGGATCTTCTGGAGCTCGGTTCTATTGTGAAAATCGGGGGAGTTGATGAATAATTTTCTAGATTTGTCGAGTTGGGACGTGTTGTCTGATTTGGTAACCGGATTCTGGCGATGCCATCCGAAGATTGCTGGTTTAACTGGCGACGTAACTCATTGATGTCGAATTTCAGCTCAATCTTAAAATTTTTATATCGTTTGATTTTTTTAAAATCTAAAGTCTTACAACACTGTCCAAACTAGCCGACGAAAGGTTTTCTTCTGAATTCCCGTTTTTGTAAGCAAACTTCTTTTGGAATTCTTCAATCGGCATTATTCGGTTACTGTAGTTGCTGAGTGCCGATATATTCTCTCTAGAATTTCTTCTAGATCTTCGTTCTTGAAACTCTTTGACTGCATCATCCAGTTGTTGTTCTTTTTCCTTCTCGTTCTTTTTCTTTGAGTACATGTATTGCCTTCTTCTCTTCGAAACCATAATCCAGAAAATCTTTGAGAAGAACAAAGTTAGTTCAGTGATTGTGATAACTGACATTCCCAGGAACATTCCCATGTTACCACCAATATCTGATAGAATCTCGGTAAGAGATGTTGCTTGAACTTGAGAGTAAGAAGTGTAGAACATCTCCAAAAAGAATATATTGATGACTGCCACATTGCTCTTGATATGCGATTCTGTTTTATTACTAATTTTTTTCAACCACTCTAACGATCCTCTGTTGAATCCATCTCCGTAAGAATTGTATGATGTATAACTGGTACTTTGGCATTCCATATGACACTCTGTACAATCTGGCAATTCCAAATAATCCGTCCCATTCACTTTTCGAAGCATATATTCATCCATACAAGTTATCGACTCGTAAGGAGCACAAATCTTCTTCTCTGCAAAATTATACTTTTTCATTTGAAGGTTTTCAGATATCTCTTACTTCCATCAACATTGTAAGTGAATGGAGCACATCCACATGTGTTATTGAAGTGTTGAGCAATGCAAAGAGCACGACATGCGGATGCGGAATAGTAAAGGAAAGTATCGTAGTGCCCTGGCCAATGCTCCGAACAGTTTCCCCAATTTCGACGACTCAACAGATTGTGCTAAAGCATATGACGGGTTACCGTATGAAAAAGTATGATTCAACCACTCACCGAGACAGTTTTGATAGCAGAGTAAACAGTTCTTGAAGGGGAAACACTAATACCTTCTGATGACAACTCAGCATTTGCTCCTGGCGGATGAATGTAATATCTGAATCCATTTTCATAGATATCTGAGAAAATCGCTTTTGCATCTCCATTTTCTCCTCTTAATTCTTCTTCCAATTGTGCATCAACAATCATTTGAAGCCCTGCTTCACTTCCAGGAGATATTTGTTTTCGCATCCATTCAGGCGCCAGATTTTGAAGATCCAGTTCCCAACATTTTCCTAGTGATGTGACTTTTGGTTTCATGTATTTACAGCAATCAAATCTTAAAAAGGTGACTAGACTGCAGTGATCTTACAGTAATCCAAACCTTCTTCCTCCGAAATAACATGTCAGAAACATTTCTCCACAATCGTATCCAGCGGTCCTCAGAAAATTAATGATTTGAAAGTCTGTATGGTTTTGAAAGTATGTTTCCGCTTCGTCATGTGCTGAAATTCCACACTTTTGTCTTTCAATTTTTTCCCAAATGATCTCACTTTTTTTCAAATTATGCCGATCTAGATTACTAAACACAAACATTGCATCCATGTTTGTCTGTAGAAGATATTCTAACGTTTCCCCTGTCAAATCTCCAGATGCATTCAATTCTCGTACATATGATTTTTTAATTGGGTTGAAATTGCAAACAGTGACAGCTGGAAAATCCATTCCTCCCTCATTCACAATGAACGAAACTTGTGATAATGTTGGTTTCGAAAAGTACATCTGAAGAAGAACGAAAATCTGAAAGCATAACATTGCCAACGCGAGTCCAACGATGAGAATCCAAAATGCACGAGCAACTCCTTTCCCATAAAATATTCTTTTTGGACCGTGCATTGTGGTTGTACCTGTAAAAGAGGAGGAATGAGTGCAAACATAACACAAATACTTTCAGCCTTTTTTGTATTTGCCTAGAAAAAAGCGAAAGACCAAAGGTGACTTTGAAAAGTTGGATCCAGAGTTCAAGAAGGAAAAATGGAAAGAAAATCAGAGGGAAAAAAGGCCTGAAAGAAAATATGCTACGAATGCTATACATACTGGTACAAAAAGTCGGTGCCACGGAAGAGAAAAGGCGGTGGTCGTGGCCGAAGGTCCCACGACGACTACTACAGTAATCTTTTAAAATTTCGGATTTATTTTATCGTTTTCACTGATGTCGGTTTTTCTATTATTTTTCCCCGATGAAGTATTAAAATAAAATTTTTTAGATAAAAAATTTTAGATAAAAACCAATGCATTTTGGGAAATAACAATTTTTTAGGTTACGGTAGTTTTCATTGTGGAACCTTCGGAGTTCCTCTTCGATAGCTCCGGCTTTTTTTGAACCAGCATAACAGTAAAGAGTATTTTATTCAGCTCAACATTATTAAAGGTGGTGTACGGTGAAATTTTTTATTGCATCAAAATGTGCAGAAATGCATGTAGATTGACATAAAAATAAAGAAAAAATTCAAAAAAATTCCTTCATCGAGAAAAACGCATCGAAAAATACGCTGAAAGCCCTTAGGGACGAGGTTTTTTCTTGGCCGCCCGGTGAGTAAAAGCGCGCGAATTCAAACTTTTAAATTTTTTTCGCTCGTTTTCACTGTTTTTTCAAATTTTCCGATGTATCTGGAAGAAAAATTGACAAAAACCTGGAAAACTCTTGAAAAACCCGAAAAAAAAAAGTGAAAACGAGCGAAAAAATTTTAAAAGTTTGAATTCGCGCGCTTTTTCTCACCAGGCGGCCTAGAAAAAACCTCGTCCCTAAGGGCTTTCAGCGTATTTTTCGATGCGTTTTTCTCGATGAAGGAATTTTTTTTGAATTTTTTCTTTATTTTTATGTCAATCTACATGCATTTCTGCACATTTTGATGCAATAAAAAATTTCACCATACACTACATTTAAACGTTTTAAAGCAACACTCCAAATATCTGAACAAAACGTTTTTTTAACAAAATTGAAAATGTTGGTCCCAAAAGGACCATAGATGTATATTCGAAATTCTAGAATTCAAAAAATTTAATAGTGTCTTTTTTTAAATGACAGCTTATAAATATTAATATTCCATTTTCCATTTTCAGAAAAAAAGAAACTTACTTGAAAAGTGTTTCGTCTCGCGATGAGCAGATCCAACTCCTTTGATCTTTTTCGCATTTTTGTACGTATTGACAGGCACTTCGATGACCAGTTGATTTGCAAATTGCTTGCTGGATGATGCCCTAAAAATTGACTTTTTTCACTTTCTCTTAGAAAGTCTCCTACCGTATTCTAAAAGGTGCTACAGTATCAGTATCCATAACCTATTCTTCAACAGGACTATCAAGGAACTAACCTTCTGAGAATACTTCACAAAATGCAACACGAAGAACATGTTTGCCAAGAATACTGACACTTTTTTTTGTCGAGAAGGCGTGAATTCGAGATATTTGCTCGAGAGACAACCTCTTCGATTCAGTGCCATCTTTCTTGGGTTTACTCATTGTTAAAGGCTATTTCCGAATTCTATTTTGGTTTCGGTCATAATATGATACGCGACGTACCCGGGTTTACTTAAAGTTGATTGGAGCTTGAAGTGAATGATCATTGAAACACAGAAATTCAAATACCGTATTTTCTCTAATAGAAGCCCATCCACACCGTCAACTTTGAGCTCAATTAACTCGGTTACTGTTAAAGATATCAAGCGTTTGTCAACTGACAAATTATTCATCATAATATCACCAATATTTTATCAGCTGACAAACTCTTGATATCTTCCATAGGAATCAAATTAATTGAGCTGAAAGTTGACGGTTTTGGTGGGCTTCTATTATAGCAAGTACGGTAGTTTATGTATTTTTCAAATTGTATGCTTCTCATGAATGTCTTCTTTCAGAATCTCAAGACTTTCAGAAATGTCTTCTCGTTTACATTTTTCTCCAAGTCAACAGTCTTCTGCCTGTTTTTCAATCTACCAACGTTTCCATTGACCGGTCGAATTTTGATTGAAAAATTATCAGATTGTGTTCTGTCTGCAGTCTCTATTTCTTCCACACTATCTCGTCCATTGCTGATATATAAATTCACCAAAACCGCTAGATTCAAAACAGTTATGGGTCACTGAGAAAGTGAAGAGTTCTAGATTTTTCAAACAAAATTAATAATTTTCAGAACTGATCTTTGGAAAATAATTTTCGACCTGGTGATGATAAAATTGTTGTCTTTAACTTTGAACCTTTCAGTTTCTTATGTAAACCTTATGATACTTAAAAAACAGTGAATGGAATACTACAGTAACCCAAAAATGAACTAACCATCCTTTAATTGAATTCAGTGTCCTTACAGAATGATTATTATCGTATTCTTCTCCTCCAGAAAGTTGTCGGGACGGTTCAGCGTCTGGCGGTTTAGTAGACGGATGTTGTGGATCGAAATACATGATCGCTGCAAATGACCGGTCAGACTCTGATTGAGAAAAGTATCAAATTCAAAGTGGAAGGAACTGACGACGATTGAGAAGAAGACGTTGACAACTACAGATGATAGTACATGGAAAGAGGAAAAAAGAACGCGTGAAGAAAAAGGAACGAAGTGAAACGAAATCAAATTTTCTTATATGTTTTTATTTCGGCTGGATTGAGTGATATTTTGAAAAGGAAGGTGACCGCAAAAAACATATTTTTGGAGCACTGTAATAAAATGAAAACAATGGAAGAGCAAAAAGTTTGAAGGTTAAAGACAGTTGAGACTATTTTCGGTCAAAACACAAAGTTCGTTGGCTATTTTTAGTTTGAATTAGTCAAGTTGGAGTTTTTGTGTTACTGATCTGTGATTATTGTTATTCACAAGGGAACCTCAAAACCTTGGAAACCTAGATTTTGAAAATTTCAGAATAGGTTTTGATAAGCCTAAACTTCTGAAAGTTTAAGGACTTTTGAAAATTAAAGCACCCGCTCGCCAGTTTCAACCGAGTTATATCAGTTTCAGCACCAAAGATCGCGTTTCCTGTGCAAAATCAGCGATTTCCAAAAACGAAATCTGGGATTTTTCCACCACTTCTATTCATTCGAAAGTAAAACAATATTGCAAAAATGTCTGAAACATTTCTGAAATAGAAAGTTTCATTGAATTCTCAGTATAAGTCAGAAACAGTTCTTCCTTTTCTAATTCCACAGATTTTCTTCTTTCACTTCTGCTGGCACATCTTGATGTTTGATAATTGTAGAAGATATAACTGTATAGTTTTCAAGTTCAGAAACGAAACATTCAAGTATCATTTCTCCAACTTTTTGCTTTATGAACATTTTTGACCAGGCAAGAAAATTCTAAAATAGGTTGAAAAGTGACGTCTTCTATAAAAAAACCCACCAAATATGAATTCATATTTTTTTTTTCGAAAAGGAATGATAGCTGTTATTACCTAGACTCATGTTTTAGTGATCTGAAAAAGTCAACACAGGACCGGAATGGAATAAAAAAACAAACAAATATTTAAAGCATGACCAAATAAACAATTTGAATTCTCAATTCAAATTACGACGAATTTAGTGAAAATTATGATATGGATTTTGGATATTTGAAAGTGAAAAGTGATCGGAAATGACAAATTTTCAATTCAATGACAGGATTTCGATATGATTGATAACCCTGAAAAATAAACGATTCCCTTCCTGTTTACGATTTATTGGTATAATTTTTAATTTTTTATGTGAGGATTATTAAAAAATTGTATTTTTTGTCGCTGTTTAAAATTATCTCTTGTTTCTTGTTCTTGTGTGTCACATTTTGATACTGAATTTATTTATTTATTTATTCATTTATTTCAACGAAGGGGAGAAAACCACTAACACGTGAAATGTCTATGAAACTAGGAGATATAACAGGGACATACATTTGTAGTAATTGGGAAATGAAGGAAAAACCGAGTTAGTAATTAGTTGAATTCAAGAATTCCAAAGAAAATTGGCATTTTTGTATTGAACAATGGATGATAATCTTCAAAGATCTTTATTGGTGGGAAGTGAAAAAGCGAGTTTGAGTATCCTAGAAGGAAAACCTTGATAAATTACAAATGAGATCAAACGGGAAAAAAGAGATCAAGTCAAACAAGACAGAAAAGGTAACACACAATAACGAAATGTAGGTCCTTATTTTGTTAAGAAATAGTTTTTCTTAACATTGAACTAATCTCGGCTCCTGTAAACTTAATCAAAAAGTGGTCAACTGACAAAATATTTTTGATTTTATGATGAATAATTTATCAGTTGATCACTTTTTGATATCTTTTACAGGAAACGAGATAATTAGGCTCAAAGGTAACGGTTTGGATGGGCTTATATTAGAGTACATATATACGGTATCTGATTTCCTGCACGCTAGAAGGGACCACCCTATTTTAATCATTCAATAAACATTTTTGAAATTTCTAAGATTGCTCTAAAACTTATTCATGAACCGAACCTAAGAATTTTAGTATTTATTGACAGTTATTTTTTAAAATTAAAATTTCGGATATTTGCTGTTCCAGAATTACATTTTGCTAACATCTAAATAGTTGATCATAATTTATCACCAAAAAAGTTATGAAGAATTCAATGAGCTCATACGACCAAAATTTGCGAAGGTTCGACATTTTCGCATTTTTAAAAATAATTTTTCTCAAATTTCGATTCTATAGAATGTATACATGAAGGATGACTAATATTAGTATTTAATTTCTAGATTTCAGAGTCATTTGCAAAATACCGTAAAAACTAATAGATTGCTACCCAAACCGTCAACTTTGAGCTCTCAAATATCAATTCCTGTAAGAGATATTGAACGTTTGTCAACTGTTAAAATATGTTTGATATTATGATAAATGTTTTGTCAGTTAACTACTTTTTAATATTTTTTGCAGGTGTTGAGATGTATGGACTACTCGACGGTTGACGGTTTGGGGGCGTTCTAACAGAGTTTTTACGGTAAATTCTATTCTAGCGTTTTCTTCAATCCTCATCATTCTTATAATAAATAAATGAAGTTGCGTCTCTTTCTCTCTCTGTGTCCGCGAATTTTGAAAAGCTTGAAAATACAATATAGATTCACGTGACCTTTTAAAAAAGAGTGAGTCGCGAAGCGACGAACAGTAAAAGAAAAAAGTTAATTCCAGCTGTTTGAAGCGCCTTAGGCGCGGCAAACAGGCTGTTAATTCCAAAAGAAGTGAATTTATCATTTACTATCCGCATTAAATTTTTTCTGTTCACATTGTTTTCCTTGTAAATTTTTAAAAAATTGGGAATTTATCAGTGCAAATTGGAGTCATAAAACTGAAAACCTTCCACCCCAATAATTCCCTCCTTCCCTAGTTTTCAATGTTTCTTTATTGGACAAGTACATACATTTCGTTAAAAAATTGAGCAAAATCAGCAGAAAGTTACCAGAAAATATAGAAAAGAAACTAATCTAAATACAATATACCATCGTTCCATAAATAGAAAATGTGAATTGAATTTTCATGCTCAAACTCTATTTTCCATTGGGCACGTTGAAAAATAGAGAGAGAACTTGAAAAGATACAGAGAGAAAGCACGGGAAGGCAAAAGTTTCGTTGGTTCAAGAGTTGACCTAATTGAATCTTAAAAAACATCTACTCGTAAAAACGATAAAGTCGAATATCAAGCGAGGAATCTCGGGCACAGATTCTTCGGAGACATCGAGAAACATGATTATACTAGAAGAATGCAAAAATTAGAGTTACAAAAAAAAGAAATAGACAAGAATGTGATAGATTAGTTTCCATATTTTGACTCGAGCTCGTCGCTGATTGGCCGTGTGGATTGGTGTTGGCGGGTCATTGCAGCGAGTTTTCGGAGTCTCGAAGCAGAATATCTGGAAAAAATTGTATTTTTCGATGTTCATAATCACCTAAACTCTTGAAAAAAAGAACACTTACTTGATGGATTCTCTCCTTCTAACCATTGATGGATCTGAAGATAAGAATTTATGCGAAAGAGCTTCGTCAGTTCTCATTCGTCGAACGGGAGACTTTTTGAGTGCCCACGTGGCAAATGAAAGACATTCCTGTGAAGCGTTGACTGGAATGAGATTTGGATCACATTTCACATTGATCACATTGTCCTTAATCTCCTCTTCTCGGTCGTATTCAGAAGTGAATGGATGGAATCCGGCCAGTCTGGAAACGTGGAAAATGTATCTGTTATTAATTTTGTATCCCTTACAGACAGAAAGTAACCACTCCCATTCCCCACATGTCACTTTGAACAGTGACTGGAGTTTCTGGAATGTGGAATTCAGGAGAGGCCCACTTAGTATCAAAGTCGACTGGCTTCACAGCAGATGAAACTTTTTGTGCTCTTCCAAAATCAATCAACTTAACAATCCAGCTACGCTTTGATTGGAACATAATGTTATGCGGATTGACATCAAGATGGGCGATTCTAAAATAGAAAATTATTCTATTAAAGAAGTTATTGAATTACCCTCTGAAGTGCAAGAAATGAAGAGCAGAAGTGACTTGTCTCATTGTCATCGCCACCTGTTCTTCTGTATAATAATCATTGAAGACGAACCGAGAAAAGACGTCTTCGTAGAGTCTTTCGGAGAAAAGATACAAGAAATTGTTGAAGTTGTACGCAGCGATCAATCGTTGCACATTCTCATGCTGTCCATCACGGAGAGATTCATATTCAGAAATGGCATCAGAAGATGGGTGACGAATCTTGACGGCGCAGTGGGCGTGGCCTTCAGTTGTTGAGTCGACAGCATCACGGATAATAGAGAAGCGTCCCTTGAACTTGAGGCCACCAATCTAAAAAACAAGACAGTCATTAACTAACTTTGGGAATATGACATACCTGGAATCTTCCGATTGGATCTGAAGTTTGAAGTTGCAAATTCGACTTCATGTCATCATTGGTCGTTCTGGCTTCGGAATCTTCCTCACTTTCCTCAGAAATTCCTCCCAATTGATTGGCTGATTTTTGAGGCATCGAAACAACATTCAATCTAATTTCTGATTTCAAAACATCGATTTGAAGCTTCGGAGCACCCTTTCCATGAGTTTGTACAATTCTGCTGCTAAGTGAAGGAAGTCCAAGACCGAATCCATTTTGAGCAGTAACTCGGAATTGATAGATTCCAAATGGAGAGAGATGTCTAACAACTACAGATTCATCATCGATTTTCTCGGAAATAGTGATCCACGGGGCACCGTGATCGTTTGGTCCGGCAACACGATATTCCAATCTGTAGGTGATTCCTTCGAGATAGGTTGGTCCTTCTGGCGCCTCCCATTGAAGGAAAATCTCAGTGTCAGAAGAAAGTTCAGCTTCTGGTCTAGATGGACGTGATGGAGTTTCTCCACTGATCATGCGACAACTTGTTTTATCTGCTCCATATTCATTTGTGGCTGAGCACACATATTCTCCAAGATCATAAGGAGCAACGTTGCTGATAATAAGCCGGGCGATGTTGTTTGCTTGTTCAATCTGGATTCTATCATTTGATTCCAGAATCTTTCCTTGGAAGTCCCATGTTACTTTTGGTGCTGGACTAGAAGCAACTGAGCATTCAAAAATGGCTGATTGGTTTTTACGAAGATAAACATCGCGAAGACGGGAAGTGAAAATTGGGGCAAATGCTGAAAGTTTTGAAATAAAATATTTCCATCTCTTAAAACAAGCAACTCACTTCCATCATCATTTTTCTTCGTTGCGCTTGGAGTGACCTTCTCAATATCAGCCTTGATTCTCTCAATGGCTGTTGCAGATGGAGCCTTTTGAAGAAGAGCGGTGGAATGTTCATGGGATTTTGGTTCAAGTCCTTGTGTGGATTCGCGAAGAATGTCCGTGTAGCGACGACGTTCACGAACAGTAATGTCACGATTACGGACTCCAAGGAAGCCTTGTTTGACTGTCGGAGCTCCAACACCGAAGAGCTCTTCACGATAATTACGGACACGAGAATTGAATGCAGCTCCACGAGCAGCCATGAGGTAAGTGTCTGGTCCAATCTGAATTTTATATGGACTTATAATGATTATCTGTCCTTAAGAAAACTAACCTGATAGTGAGAATCCCATGGAGAATCATCGATATCATATCCGGGATGTCCGAAGTCATTATCCTCTTTATAGAATGCTCCAGGACGGAATTTATCAAGATCATCCAAATTGACTGCTCTTCTATTCTTATCCTTTTCAAGTCGATCTTTCTCATCTTTGAAATCATCCTCTCCATCATGATCCTTTGGTTTCACTTGTTTCTTTCTATCATCCATGAATGCATCCTCATCATCAATATCTTCGGCAAGTTCTCCAGGTGGCAAGAATCCAGGTTTGCCTCTCTTTGTGGCAATCAGAACTTCCATTGAATGCTCTTGACGTGGGCTGAGCATCACTGGACTCTTTGTTCCAGGAGTCGACCGACGTGGAGATTTTGGATTTGGACTAAGAGTAACAGCTGGAGACGTGACTTTGATGAGTCCAGAAGCTGAAGTTGTGTCGACCGTCAAATCTGCACCGTGAAGTCCTTCGAGGAACAGTGGAGCGCCAACAGGGATCGATGGATCGTTCTCAGCGTCTTCAAGGATCTGGAATATTATGATTGATGATTTGAATTTTTTGAATTATCAAAATGCATAGTTATACCCATTTGTGCAAGTGCATGAAGGTGAGTGAATTCAAAAAACTATTTTCTGAATACCTCATTTAGAATCAATGCTTCCGGACGGACCACATCCGCCACAATGCTTTCATTTTTGTTTTTTCGCGCCAACTTGCCCGGCGTCTTGCCCACCTTTGCGGTGTTTTGTAGTTTTTGTTCTATTTTACGATCAATGCAAGATATCTTAACACCGGGAGCAATGATGGCTCCGTTTGTACGAAGAGATGGTGATATGTGCATTGTTGTTGGACGGGATGGGCTCACAGGACGAGCCAATTCGTTTAGTGAGTTCATTTCTGCAGGTTTTAGAAGATAACAGAAAAGTTTTAGGCAGAGATAACGAGAAAAAAGAACGAGGAACAAAACTGAGAACAAGTATTTTGGTTGAGAGTGAAAAAAGTTAAGTGACACTTTGCAGTTTGTTTGATGATATGTTCTACAAAATCTATTCTGAACTTTTTTTTCAAGGATCAATTTTCCAAAAAAATACAAAAAATAATAAAATCGATAAAAATAGTGAATTTCACCACCTACGCAAGTGGGAAAAAAAGTAAGACAGTGCTCGTTTCTCTCCTTCTTTTTCCCAGTATCCCACCCGTTTTTTCCATCCAATAAGTTACTCTTTATCCTCTTTCTACAACTCAATACGCTCCTTCGATTTACCAACTGCGCGGATTTTGAAGAGCTTTCTCTCTCCTTCAACCTCATAAAGTTTGTCTTTTTCCTCCTGTCAGTTTGCTGACCTTCTCCTACTCCTCCCTCGTTTTTCTCATACAAAAAACGGCAAATGCCATCTCCGAACCAGTTATATAGACATCTCGTAACTCCTCTTTTTTTGTTTCTTTCTTTTTAAAAATATCTCACCTTTTTATCTGCTTCTGGGAGTCCAGCAAGAACTGTGTCAGGGTATGTTACTTTTGGGGGGATTACAGTACCCTCTTGTGGAGGAACTGGAGATTTCTGAGGTGTGGAGGGGGATGGTGTTGGTTTCGGGATAGTTTCTCTGATCGTGACTTCTGGAGTGAGAGTTGGTGTGGATGGTTCTGATGCCTCGACTTGGAAGTCCTGAAAATTATAGAGTTGATGTAATATGTAAAAAATCAAATTCTTGAAAATTCGGGTCACCGGAAACTATGCTTTATACATTGGATTCTGAATCAAACCCATAAGAATTACACAGAGAAAAACCCATTTAGTTAATGTCATTCCCCACACATGTTTCCCCTTTTCTCTCGTCACCTTGGGAATCTCAAAGTCCTCCAGACTGGCAAGAGATCCGGCAATCGATCCTTCTTCAGAAATATCAGATAGAATTCTGTTGGCAATTTCCTCTTCAATTTCTCTTCTTTCTCCTCTGATCATTCTTATCGGAACTTTCTGGGGTTGTTGCTGTTGTTGATTTTCGTTGTTCGCTGGTTCTAGAATTGGAGTGGAAACTGGCGTTCCAGTCTTCTCTTTTTTCGATCGAGATGGTGTTTCTCCCTTGTCTTGTGGAATCAGTTTACGTTTCTCCAATGTTTGAGGAGCCATTGGTCTTCCGAATTCGTCCAAATGGATTGGGTTGCCGTATTCGTCGACGTAGAACGGAGCGTCGTCAAGAGAAGATGGGCGGTGTGATGGATCGTTTAGGTAACGTGGATCGATCGGTCGGCCTGGAAAAATTTTGCATTGCCTGATTTCCGAATGAGAAAATAAAACCGAGATTCTTGAGAAGCAATAGTATCATTGAGAAATCGTGTGTAAGAAAATTCCAGGCTACCATAAAACCAGTAATAGAAGGCTAATTTAGCTTGGCTCCAATGCAAGATATCAAAATTTTTTCAACTGATAAAATGTTTGTGACATTATGATGAACAATTTGTTAGTTGACCAATTTTTTTCCTTCTACAGGAACCGAGAAAAATTGGCTCAAAGTTAAAAGTTATAGGTCCTTCTATTGAAGGTTTTACGGTTTATATAAAGAGGTTTCGAAAGATTCATTGACAAAACAAACTTTTGTTCTTTTTTCTCTTATTTCCACAAATAACTTACCGTATTTATTTTCAACTGGAATTCTTTGTGGATGTCCCGGTTGTTCAAATCTTCTCGAATCGTGAGATGGTTGATTCGGCCTTTGTGGTTGAGGAGGAATTGGTGGTGGCCGCCTGAAAGTCAAACATAAAACTTCAATAATTAGAAATCTCTAAAATTTTACCTCTGATGATCTTCAAATCCAGATCCTTCGTCGAATGCTTCTCCGTCAATCAACTGTCCAAACTCGTCAATAAATGGCGGATGCTCTTTTCTTGGTTTCGGAACGTATTCAACAACCGGAGGTGGTTTCTTTGGTTGAATTCGAAGATAATCGTAAATTTCGGCGGGACGTCTTCCTTCCGGTGCTACAGGAGCATTTTGTTGTGCTCTTGCCGTCGCAGGACCAAGAATTGCTTCAAGAATCTGCTCAGACGGTGTCTGTTGAACGAAGACGCGTCGTTCCTGAAAACGATTACTTTTTTTTTGAATCATGAGCAAAAAGTCAGAGCTCCCGCCGCGCAGCTGAGTAGGCATAGAGAGAAAAGTGAAGTTGCAGTGTGTATAAATGTTGTGTGCTGCTCTTTTCTCTCTTTTTTTGTTCTTTCGGAGGTAAGTACACACACACACGGATGGACCGTACGGATCAATCCAAACTTACCAGCCATTTGTGTTGATATTTGAATTCTCTCAATGTGTCAGCTGATAGTGGTTCATTTTTCAATTTTTCATCGTTCAACCATGGATGATCCAATGCTTCATCGACTGTCAAACGGTGAGCTGGAATCTCTAACAAAAGTTTTTGTACGAAATCTCCAGCATCATAAGAGAAGTTTCCGAGGGGAGATGAATCAAAATGACAACGATCCACATTTGACAGAGTTTCATTGTCATTATCCCCATGGAAAGGTGATAATCCAGTCAATCTGTGAAAATACAAAACATTTTCTTTAAAATTTCATAATTAAAAGTACTTACAACACATAGGTCAAGACTCCAGTGCTCCACATGTCGGTTGCCAGTGTCAATGGATAACTTCTGACAATTTCGGGACTCACGAATTCTGGTGATCCTTTGATTTCTCCTGTGATCAATCCACGAAGCAGTCGCCGAGCTTGTCCGAAGTCTGCCAATTTCAATTTGTCATCCTGGAGAAGAATAGTTTCCGGACGAAGATCCAAATGAGCAATTCTCAGATCATGCATGTGTTTGAGAGCCAGAAGAAGTTGACGAACGAACACTCGAACACATGTTTCTCGATTTACTCCCTTTGGTTCGGAAATCGAAACACCTGGATGTGTTAGACTGGAGAGACCGTCTATCGTTGAGTTCGCACTGAAAATTTGTGTTAAAACTGCAATTTATCGAAATTCTGATTTCAACCAATCCTAATAACTTTTATACCTAGAACTCACCCATTAATAGTAAACCTAACCATTTTTACAAAATCATGAAGGATTATTCTGGACGTTGGCTATAGTGTCCGTTGTGTTCTTTCTGCCATCAGCTCTTCTCGCCAAAGCTATCATATCTTTTCATCTATCTTTTTTCTTGGACCTTCAAAAAATTCTCCCCAAGCTTCTTTCCGAGCCTGGATGAAGACTACGTAGACTCAAGAGACGCAGAGAAACGAGAAAACATCTTGGCATTGTAACATCCGAAAAACTACACAAGAATCCTAGAGAACCAGAGAAATTGAGGAGCAAAGTGTTTCGAAATCAGTATCACCCCAGGAACCCATTCATTCATGACGAGTGGGTCACAGAAAACAATTGAGAAATTGTGAGAGGATTTCCGCAAAATCGGGGGCATCCATTATTCATCTGCTCACATGAATAACTTTTCAATCTTTCAATTTCCGATTGAATCTTTCAGATCGAAGAAAACATTTTAAAATATATCGAAAAAAGGTAATGTTATCGGGCGGAAAGGATTTTATGCTGGAAATATATATATATATATATATATATATATATATATATATATAACACTCGATTTGCTTTTTTGATAAAAGTTCAAATCGGCATTCTGAGTTCTTGGGGTTGGAAAAAAAGTCGAAATCATAGTAACTTTTCATGCAAACCAGTTTTAATAGAATATTTTTGAAATTGAGTTTTTTTGAACAGAGAAACAAATATTCTCTGAGTTACGGATTCTGATATTCGGAGATTCTGAGATCTATGGGAATATTTTTCAGAATTACTCGATATTCTTCAGTTTTCCAGCAATTTTTTAGATTAAGAAAATAAATTATTTTCCGACTTGGTTGAAGTTTTTCAACACGAGAGTTGTCGGAAAGCAATAATAATGGAGGAAAAAAGAACCAAAAATTTTAGGTTACGATGGTACGGTGGAACCGTTGGATGCCCACAAGCCTTTCTCTTCCACAGCTCCGTTTTTTATATCGGCATAATATTACTCTTATGATCTCACCATTCATCATCATCCACTAAATGAAACATTCGCACGATAAAATATCAAAAAAACCAGAAAGAGAATTTGTAAACTCCTCGTCATAAAATCGGAAAGAAACGATCAAAATTCAACAGAAGCCCGAATCAACATATTGAAATAATTTGATTTCGGTTTTTGAGTCTCTGAGAAAACGAATCGGCAATAAAAGTGCGGGCCCTCGAAAGAAAGACCCACTGCGCACAAACACTCCCACATCTGTTTTTATTCCCTTTTTACACTTATTTCAAATTTCGGATGGGACGAGATGGATGCAGCTGATGCTTTCTCAGTGTTCGTTCAGATTATTTTATTCCGACCACTGCAGTTGATTCTATGCCAACTGACTCCAATTGTTGTGTCACTAGTCAGTTCATTCATTTTTTGCTTTACAATTCTAGTTTAAATTTGACTGCTCAAGTGATCATATTCCCAACTGTCTATGAATCCAGTAGGCCTGTTCATTCTCTTTTCTTTCTTCTGATATTGAGATTTTTTTAGCTACTAAAAACTTTCAACTAATAGATTTAACTTTGTATTTTTTTTCGTGCCGTATTTCCTCCAATACGAAGCCCACCCAAACCGGCAACTTTCCATTCAATTATCTTGACTTCTGTGAGAGATATCAAAACATTGTCAACTGAGGAATTTTTCATCATTTTGTCACCAATATTTCGTGAGTTGACGAATTCTTGATATCTTCCACAGGAATCGAGTTAATTAAATTCAAAGTTGACGGTTTGGTACTCTTTTTTATATAAAATACGACATCTTCTTGCTATTTTAGGTTTTTCTGACTTCCAATGTTTTCCAGATCATTAATTTTTTCAAAAAACATCTGCATTTGAATCCATATTGTCTTTGTTCAGATCCCTATAAACCCTCTCAAAACCCACTTTTCGAATACAACCAATGCCAATTTTTCATCTCTGAGCACTCGATGCATTTGAACGATTCCTGGATGATCCAAAGAGTTATGGATATCCACGTGGCGAAGCAATGCATCGTCAATTGGTCTCAGCTGTGCCAAGAATTCGCGTCCCGAGGATTTTTCGCTGACTCGAAACGGTGCTCCTTCGGCAGCCAACCTGCAATTTACCACCAGCGTTAAAGAAATTCTATGGGGGGACTATGTCTAGAGTATAAAACTACTGACTCTTTCTGATTAAGTTACACTACCTAATCCCAAACGTTAACTAAATCTTATCTATTGACTCAAATTTTTAAGCAATCTCTAGATTTTTTAGTCGATCTCTTAACTTGGACACGGGACGCTGGTGGTAATTGCTGTTGGCTGACCGAGACAACGATCTCGAAATTTCTTTCAAGATTTAGCACCCCCACTGATTTTGCCTCATTTTTTGTGTGTTTGTTTTCAGCCACACGATTTCCCCGATTTCTCTCATTTCTCTCAGAAGTGCTCCATTCATGATTTTTCCAGATTTCAGAAGTTTCCAGAAAATTTGGACCAAGTGAAGAAGCATGAAGCAGAATGGGGAAAACGGAAGTTGATCTGTAATATTTCGTTTGATAATCTGATTTTATACTGGAATAAATAATCAGTCAAGAGCACTTTCAAGAGAAATTCAAGAAACCATCAAAAAACGTCTCGCTGAAAAATGAAAACACAAAGAAATGACACAAAAAAGAGCGAGGAGGCCGTTGAGAGCAGCCCGCCGAAAGGCAACGTATCACCGGGACACAAAGACAGTATGGACAAAATCGGAATGGGTTCCAGCATTATACCGGATTGCTGTTTGACCCATTTTACCGATTCAAGGTGCTGAGTTAGTGCTGGATGTAACATGGACGTGACGCGGACACAGGATGGGATAGTTAGTCAATCTTTATTTTCATGATTGAAAGGGAAAGAAAAAGTGATATGATCGCTGAAAAATAGCAAAAGAACAATATTTTAAAAATTGGGCAAATTGAATTGAGCAAACGGGTAGTTGGTCATTGGGCACTGGATGATGATGATGGGATGGTATAAGACACTTGGCATTTGGGCACTTTGCCACGTGTCAAATTCCGATGAATGGGATGGTGGTGGGGGAGGGAGGCACTAGGCGAAAATTACTACCGGATACATATAAAAATTATAGAAAAAAAAATGAACTGAGAGAAGTTTCGAATTGGTATGGTGTGTGAACAGCATGGGATTTCACTACTTGGCGGGGATTTAGAGACTCACTGGAAATGGAAGAAAATGGGGGATACAGGGGAGACTATTCGATGAACCGGTATAAGTGACAGAAAAAAAGAAAGAATATAGATTACTGTAGTTTTAGGAACTTCTGAAAGTTGGAATATTCTGATGATTGGGCACGTCACCAGCATATTTCAAAAGGGTCAAGTGTAGAGAAATTCAGAAAACTAGAAGTGGGTTTACAACAAAAAATTTTTGGAATATGACAAAATGAAGAAAATGGAAAACAGAAAACACAAAATTGTTTTTGATACATATATTTTTCGATTTGTTTGGGAAATTTCTATTTTTTTTCTTGTTAATTACTTTTCGTCTTTTTCAGAGATTTCGTATAATTCTCGGACTCGTCGAGATTCGATTGTCACTCGGCGGCGTGGAAGTTCGACGTCGTTGTAGTCTCCTTCGGCTGAAAAAATATTAGTTGATTGGTTGAAATTTATACTTTCCGTTTTTTTTCAAAGTTTTAACTGTTTAAAAACTGGAAAGAGCTATGTAAACACTCTAAGAAAAGGATGCACTTTGATTAAAAAAAAAAAATCCTGTTTAAGATTAAATATATGGAATAGGATAAAATCGGATTAAAGATTTTATCCCAAGACGCAAACTTTGATATATCAAAAAGTAGTGCTTACTGCTTCTTAGTCTGAATCAAACCTACCTTCAACAGTAACAGTACACGAAGTAGTTGCTTGTCCGGCGTCATTGATAGCTACACAGGAATAGATTCCAGAATCTCTCCACATTGGGTCATTGATGATCAGAGAGCACAAGAAAGGTCCATCTTGAACGAACTTGATACGTGAGGATTCAACAATTGGACGCCATTCCTGGAATAAAATGTAATTAGAGAGCGCAAATATAATAAATGCTCACCTTCATCCATTTCAGTTCTGGGAATGGTTCTCCTTCCACTCTGACGTCTAATCTCATTGGTTGAGCCGATGAGAAAGTCTTATTTACGAGTGGCTGGATGAAATTTGGTCGTGCTGAAATTAGTTTTTTTTTTCTCATTATATTCCTTTCTGAAATCTTACTGGCAAGATCCACCAAAATGTTCTGTTGAGCGTCTCCGTATTCATTCTTAGCGAAGCACTGATATTGTCCAACGTTCTCCTTGCTGAATCCAGTGATGGCAAGAGTGGTTTCAGTTCCTCCGTAAGTGTAGACTTTACACTTTGATGTTGGCGAGGACGTATCAATGTCCCATCCTCTGAACTTCCATTTGATGTCTGGATCTGGGAATCCAGAGACATTCAGAATGAGCGTAAGAGTGTCATTTTCGGCGCAGTATCGTTTCTCGACGACTCCTGGAGCAAACCATGGGGCACACGCATATTGTTCAGAATATTTCAAGTCGAGAGCTCTCTCTGCATATGGGTCGAGAAGTGGAATGACTTTGTTGGTTCTCTTATCGAACACTGGTTGTGGTGGAGCCATTAGTCTTGATGGTGGAGAAGCCGGGGATGGATCCGAAATTCCGTAGATGTTCTCGGCACGAACACGGAATTGGTATGACTTTCCGAGTTCCAAATTCCTGACTTTGCACACTGGCTCCGGGATATTGTAGTCCAAAAGAGTCCATTCCTTCTCTGGAAGTTCTCGAATCTCAATGACATAAGTGACTTGTGGATAACGTGGTGGTGCTCTCTTGGTTGGGATCCATGACAGAGTAAGATAATGTCCGGTGACCTCCTTGATGAATGGTCCACGATCTGGTGGTGTTGGAAGGCTGGCTGTGTTGAGTTTCTTGAATCCATACTCTTCGGTGAGATATGGAGTTACATCGATCTCTCCGTTGAATTTGATGTTGTCGAGGAATGGAACAGTCACATCAAGAACAGCGGATGAACTGGCAGACCCATGGGAGTTCTTAGCAGTTGCCACGTATTCTCCTGCATCCTCAAGAGTGGTATCGAGAATGATGAGAGCGTGGGATCCTCCTCCACAAAACTGAATCTTGATTCTTCCTCCTGGAACAATCTTCTTTCCATTATGGAACCATTCTACTTCTGGCGCTGGATGTCCAACAACGAGACAATCGAAGATAGTTGGCATGTGGTTGAAGACGTGTTTGTTCTTCAGTTGACGAACGAAACCTGGTGGGAATGGCATACCTCCTCTGAAATTTAAATGAAAGAATTTTCAATAAAAAAGAGGGTGGAAAAGATGATGATATTAGTTATTCATAACTTTTCCTTACCTATCATCAGCATCAGCAACATGTCTTGGTCTGATGATATTCAAAGATCCTTCGGTTCTGGCTGATCCCAATTTGTTAGTAGCTTCAAGAGAATAGTCTCCTTCGTCTTCTGGGCTGGCATTGACAATAACCAAATGATGGATTCCTCTTTCATCAGTGAAGATGACTCGTTTTCCATCTGGACCATCTCCAATGATTTCTTTTCCATCCTTGTACCATTTCACCGTTGGAGTTGGGATTCCAGTAGCACAAACAATCATTTCGACAACATTTCCCTGCAAACAACGATTCAAATTATATTTGCCGTCTTCCGGTTTTTGACGCAAGTCCCTTTTTTTAGATTTCATAATGGAGCAGAGGTAAATTTGGATGCTAGTCGAAAATTCACCGCCGCCTTCCCTATTTTCCATTGTGCTCGATTGAGCATTCAGAAAAAAAAACGAATGATTCATCTATGTCGTCGCCCTCTCATTCGTCCGTTTTTACGTTGTTAAATTTCACACCTAGTTGGATTCTCAAGTGAGAGAAAGAGTGGGTCAGAGAGCCCCGTCATACTTTTGTTTGTTGATTTGAGAGAAGGTCAATCTTTTTTTTGATGAATCTATGAATCATTTTTGTGTATTTTAATGGGAGGGGTTTATGGAATAAAACGGACAGGTCTCTCTAGAAGTTTTATCCATTTCACAAGTTAAATCTTTTTAATGATCCATTTTTCCAATTTAAGACGAAGGAACTGTTCTTCCCGGAAGTCCTCTAATCTCAACCCAAAAAAGTTGTTCTTTCGTTTGGTGTGTAAACATGTGTCTCTTCTTCTTGGTTTCGTTGCGCGTGAATTGGATTTCGATTGTAAGAAGAAGAGTTATAAGCTGAATAATCAACAGTACATGACGTACCAAATTGCATGTTTTCTCACTGCTACTAGAATAGATGATTTTTTTCGTTAGCTTTCCTAGAATTTTCAGAAAATAGTTTTAAAAATTCATATTTTTCGAAAATAACTCTTCAGAATTTTCAATGGTAACCCGGAAAAGAGAAGATAAACTTCCCGAGTTGATGCTCATGAAAAATTGATATTTATTCTTGAAATCTAAAGAAGACCGAAATATCCAAAAATCGAAAAAAAAGTTGTTGAAGTAGATTTCTGACTACCTGAATATTTCTGAACCGTCCTCCTACATATTTCGAGTTCTCTATTTTTCTCAATCACTTGACTTCGCCCCTAATTGGAGAACAGTGACCCAATTCAGCTTTTAAAATACAAAAACTTTCTCATTGCTCGTAATTTGCACCTTGTTTCCTCGCAACACGTGACTTTTCTCTGTGTATTTTCTGAAGGAAGAACAGAGAAAGTTGCGTCAAAAAGAGCTTCCGAGACGAAAGAACTCATTCGAACACAAAACTAGACTTCAAAACAAGCTCTCCCCCCCCCCCCTCTTTCCTCTTGTTCTTCTTCCTATTATCAGTTCATCACATTTCGTTTTTGTGTTTAGTTAGCTGATTAGATAATATTTCGGATTATCATCAATTGTGCATGTGTATGCGTGGTCAGTTGGCGACAGATTGGCGCGACCGAGATTCGTATTTTTTTGTTTCCCTGTCTAAATTTTGTTTCCGCTCTCACCTCATGAATGCTCATGTTGTACAATCCACGACGAATTCTTGGTTTGCATTCTTCTGGTTCTCCGTTTCCTTCTGGAAGTGAGCGGGATCCAATTGTACGGTCTCCTGAAAAAAGTTAATTTCTTATCGAGTCTTTCTTGCACTTTGTACTTGCTTTCTGAATCAGTTTCAAGTCATTATAAATGAAATGGTTTGTTTTTTCAGTGTAAATCTCGGATTATCTATGATACGGTGACATGACCTACTACTCTTCCGTTTTTCTGTTTATAACATCACTTCTTTCGACTTTTGGACTTTCAATTCCGCCTACCACATTTCCAAATTGCCCAAAAGTAAGTTCACCTCTATTATTTATAAAAGTCATATTTTCTCTCTCGTTTTCTAGGGATGGAGCCATGATGAACCTGGACGAACATGTTACCATTTGGCACGTAGAAGAATGAAACTTCCAGAAGCGCACGCCTACTGCCATAAACTAATTCCAGATGGTTCTGCACATGTATTACGAGTAGAATGTGGAGGTGAAAATGACTATATAAGTGGTCTAGTCAAAGGGCATTCCGATAAAGTTTGGATTGATGCAAGAGCGCGATTTGATATTGTTGATGGTTCTGCTGGCCTTTTTGGACCTGGATTTGTCTACAGGTGGCCAAACGGGAAGATAGTGAGATATCAAAATTGGGCGGATGGAAATGGTCTCGATGAAATCGGAACGTCGAATAAATGTGTGACAATAAAGAGTGATGGACAATGGGTGAATGCGAATTGCACAACAACCGCTGCCGTTATTTGTGAGAAGAAGCTACACAGACCCTACTCGAAGTTCTGCCCTAAACATTGGGTTTATAATAAAGAAACCCAGTCTTGCTATCGAACAATTTCAAAAACAAATATGACGATTTTGGAGGCTGATAACAAATGCTTCGACTACGGTTTGTTGTTTTTTTTTTGAAAATTATCATTTGAGAATGATACGCTTCAGGGTTCGAACATCGTCAAGATGCAATGCTCACAAGTATTGGAAGTGAGAGTGAAAATCAATTCGTAATGAATCTGGCAAAAGAAAAAGACGCCAACTTTGAATTTATCTATCTTGGGGGCTATGGAAGATCTAGAAATGGAAATAAGTGGCATTGGATGGATGGTAAGCCTATTCTTTTGATCCTAATTGTCTATAAATGTTCTATTTAGGATCAGAATTCAATTATTTGAATTGGGATCGTGGAATGCCGTTCGGAAGAAGAGCTTTGGCAGTTCTTGTGATGAACAAAAGAGGCAAGTGGATCAATCATTATGCTGATAAAATTTTATCACAGTACAATGCTGTTGCTGTTTGCAAGTTCAAAAGTTGATATATTGATTATAATTATTGACTTTTGTTAGTTTTTTTTCAACTTTTAGTCATTGCCCAGTCACTTTCTTTGTTGTTACCGATTCCCCTGATCAAAAAAAATCTCACTTTGCTTGTTCTGATCTCTAGATTCGCAATCAATAAACCTGTTCTCTTTTTTCTTACCTTCAATCACAAGTTCAGCCTTTGTAGAAGCCGTTCCGTGTTCATTCGTGGCCACACATCTGAAGTATCCTTCACTCAAGAAAGTGACATCAGAAATGATGAGACGCTGTGTTCCATCAGCAGCTGCTTCCATCTTGATCTTCTCATCAGCAAACAGTTCTAGACCATCCTTCAACCATTTGATTGCTGGGAATGGGTTTCCGAATGGTAGACATTCGAAAGTGACAGACTCTCCTGGTTTGGCACGACGGATTGTCAACGGAATGGTGAATCCTGGAGCCTTTCCTTCACGAATTGAAGAGTCGATGTCGCGTGGTTTGCGATCACCGCCTGGAAAACAGAAGAAGTAGAAATGATTCTAAAATTTGTGAAACTTACGGATAACATTGACATCACATGATGTTCTAGCTGATCCATATGTATTCTCAGCAACGCATCTGTATCCTCCTGCATCTTGACGAGTGGCAGAATCAACAACCAATTCGCAGACACCATCTGGTGATTCGATGAGTTGAAGACGTCCGTATGGGAAGACGCGTTCTCCATCCTTGAACCATTTGATTGTTGGCTTTGGATCTCCACTGAACTTGCAGCGAAGACGGAATGCCTGCTTCTCCGGAATCTGAAAATTGAAATTAGATAGTTGAAATTATAATTGAATAATTACTCTGATGTTCTCAAGTGGTTCCATAAGTTTTGGTGCCTTGTTGGCATCAAAGACATCTCTCTCAGCAGATCGTCTTGCTCCACTGTCTCTTGGAAGTTTCTTGACTGTGGCAGTTCCCTTGTCTTGAGCAGTTCCAGATGGATTCGTGGCAATAACACGGTAGATTCCATCGTCATCATAAACACAAGATGGGATGAGAAGAGTGGCAATTCCATCTGGCGACAGACTGATTTGAATTCTGTCCGATGGAGTGACAATAGCTCCATCCTTGTACCAAGTCATCTCTGGAAGTGGGGAAGCATCGACCTTGCATTCCAATTTCAATGGTTGTCCTTCTGTTGTTCTCACATCTCCCATCTTCAATGTGAATCTCGGTGGTTGGCTGGCAGTCACAACTCCTGATCCAAGACCATCATCCATGCGAACAAAAGATTTGGTAGTAGCACTTCCATTCTCATTTGTAGCAACACAACGATAGGTTCCCTCGTCGTGGACAGTGGCGTTCTTGATTCTGAGTTGATACACTCCTTTCGCTGGCTCATTGGACCATTCGAATCTCGAATCCTCAATCAGTGGTCCTCCATCCTTTGACCATTTGACAGAGGGGTTTGGAAGACCAGTGACTTTGCATTCCAAATCAATAACATTTCCAAGTGAAACTGACATATCGGAGAGTTCCAAAATGAACTTTGGTGGTTTTCCTTCGTCCATCTTTGGCTTTTCGGTTTTTCCAAGAGCCATTTGAACATGAGCGGTCGCTTGAGTCTTGGCCTTTCCGTGAGCATTTTCTGCTTCACACCTGTAGATTCCTTCATCGCTCATTGTAGATTCCTTGACAGTCAGAGAGCATGTACCATCTGGAGAGTTCTCCACAATCGTTCGTGGTCCAGTTCTGACGAGTTGTCCATTTCTGTACCACTTGATTTCTGGGAATGGATCTCCAGTAACTGCACATTTAAGGGTAAATGTCTCTCCACGATCAGTCCATAAATCAACAAGACCTTTTGTGAAGAATGGTTCTTCTCCTTCTTTCTTCACTTCTTGTTTTGGAACCTTCACATTCACACTGCAACTGGTATTGATTGTTCCATGAGCATTAGTTGCAACACAACGATAAGCTCCAATATCGGCTTCAGTGCTTTCATTGATGGCAAGAGAAGCAGTTCCATCTTCTTCATATTGAACCGAAATTCTGGAGTCGGCTCTGATTGGAAGACCATCCTTGTACCAGACAACTGAGGCTCTTGGGACGGCATCGACCTTGCAGGATAGCCTGATTGATTGACCTCCATTCACTGTCTTATCTTCCAATGGTGGATTGATTCTTGGAGCGTACTCCTTCTTCTTCTCTTCCTCAGTGTGCTCGAGAATTTCAACTTGATAGGTGGCTTGAGTCTCAGCTTGTCCCAACTCATTAGTAGCAACACACATATACACTCCGATGTCGGATTCTTCGAATGGCGAAATCTTGATACGGCATGCGCCATCCACAGTGTTTCTGATTTCGGTGTGAGCAGTGTACTCGATTTTCTTTCCATCCTTGAACCATTGAATTTCAGCAGTTGGATTGGCATCAACGTGGCACTCAATGAACATTGGATCTCCAACTGGAATTCTTCGATCCCAAAGTGGAACATTGAATCTTGGTGGGTAACGAAGATCGTCTCTCATTCCACCTTCGTGATCCTGCCCTTGCGAGAACTCGCAGACAGTTTCATCTGTTCCATTTTCGTTGGTAGCAATGCACTTGAGAGTTCCAAAGTCTTCTTCACGGACATCCCGGATGGTCAAACAATAGTTACCATCAGCCATATCATCAAGAGTAACACGGTCATCGAAAGTGATTGGTTTTCCATTCAAGATCCATTTGAGGGTTGGTTTTGGAAGTCCACGAACCTTGACATTGAATTCCTTTTTGTCTCCTGGAAGAGCAACTCCAGATCTCAATGGAATCACGAACTTTGGTTTTGATGGTTGTTCTCCTTGTTCTGTGACGGTCACCTTACTATCACTGGAAGCACTTCCAGCCTCGTTCTTAGCTGTGACGCGGTATTGTCCAATATCACTCTTCTTGGCAGAACGGATTCTCAAAGTAACAGTTCCATCAAGAGCAGTTCTCATTGTGATTCTATCATCCTTTTGAAGAACAACTCCGTCCTTCTCCCAAATGATTTCTGGGAATGGTTCTCCGGCAACTGTGCATTGAAGAGTGAGCATATCTCCCTCCTCCACTTCGGTGTCTTTGAGTGGAGATAAGAAGTTGGCTCCAGAGGTAGCGTCTGCTGGTTTGGCTGCTTTCACATGGACCACGGATCCACTGTACACCTCTCCCTTATCGTTACCAAGAACAACACGGTATGCACCTCCATCGGATTTCTTCGAAGATGGAATAAGAAGAGAGAACTCTCCAGATTCTGGTTTCTCTTCAAATTTGAATCCGTCAGAATCTGGCTTCAATTCTTGCCCATTCTTGTACCATTTCACAACCTTTGGAATTCCTTCAACCTTGACCTTAAGTTCAACTGGTTGTGGTTCCTCAACATCAACATCCTTCAATCCATCAACGATCTTCAGTACATTTGGTTTGACAACAGTGAGAGCAGCGGAAGAATCACAGTCTCCAGCTGCATTTGAAAGCACAACCTTGTAATCTGCGCCATCGTCCAATTGAGCTCTGTTGATGGCGAGTTCGTATTTCTTTGGTCCGATCTTCTTAGCTTCCAAATGACTGTTTGGTTTGATCTCCTGTCCGTTCTTGTACCATTTCACTTGACGAACTGGAGCACTGACTTCCACCTTGAATATGTCATCATCTCCTTCTGGGATATCAATGTTCTCTAATCCACGAACGATTTCTGGTTTCTCGTCAACTTCTCCTTTAGCATCACTCTTAGCCTTTCCACTTTCATTGATCACTTCAACAGTGTACTCTCCAGCATCCTTTAAATCAGCAGATGGGATCGTGAGTCTGTGAGTGGTGTCATCCATCTTCTCAATGATTGCATTTGTTCCGGCACTGATAACATTCGCATCTCGAAGCCATCTAACGTCTTCTGGTTCTCCTTGAATCTTGACTTCGAATACCATTTTAGCTCCCTTGGCAACAACTTGATCTTCAAGTCCCTTGACAATCTTGCAGAGCCCAGCCTTAGCCTTCTTGACAGTCAATTGAGCTGACGAGTCAGCCTCTCCAGCAGTGTTCTCCATGACAACCTTGTAAGTGGCAGCATCATCTCGAACTGCATTCTTGATGACTAATTGGTACTTTGTATCAGATTTCTGTTCAATGACAAATCTCGAATCTGGTTTGATCTCTTGTCCGTTCTTGTACCATTTGACAGTTCTTGGCTTTGTGTTTGTTTCCACTGCAAACTCGGCGTTCTCTCCCTCGGTGATTGTTTGATCCTTCAAAGGTTTCATGAATGTAATCTTTGGTTCCACAGTGATCTTTCCATTGCTGTTTGCAGATCCAGCTTCGTTGGCGACTTCGACCTTGTAGTCTCCAGTATCTTCAACAACGCTGGATGGAATTTCGAGAATATATTTGTTGTCATCGATCTTCGAAATCTTGATGTTTTTGGCAGCAGCACCAGACAATTCCTTTCCATTCTTGCACCATTTGACGGTCTTTGGAGATCCAGATGTTTCGATTTCCAATTTGATTGGAGATCCGATAGGAACCACTTGATCTTCGAGTCCCTTGATAATCTTTGGCTCTTCTGCTGGCAGTTTGACAGTCAATGCGCAGAATGACTCAGCTGTGTTTCCATCGTCATCAGTCAACACAACCTTGTATTCAGCAGCATCATCATCTCCAGCATCTGGAATAACCAACTGTGACTTCTTGTCTCCATCGCTTCCGGCCTCGGCTTTGTTGTTTGGTGTGATCTCCTTTCCATTCTTGTACCATTTGACTTCCTTTGGTTTCTTGTTGGTTTCCACTTCGAGGACAACCTTCTTTCCTTTTGGAACTTCAGTGTCTTCAAGTCCCTTGACAATCTCGATTCCAGGAAGTTTGACGGTAAGGGCAGCAGAAGAATCAGCATCTCCAGCATCATTTGACAACACAACCTTGTAATCAGCAGTGTCATCTAGCTGAGCATTAGGAATTTCGAGAGAATACGATCCATCTCCATTGTCTTTGGACTTGGCATCTGGGATCTCTTTTCCATTCTTGTACCATTTTACTTGTTTGACTGGTCCCTTGGCCTTCACATTGAATGTAGCAGTGTCTCCTTGTTTCACAGTTGTTGGTACCAATCCAGACACAATTTCTGGCTTCACCTTATCCTTTCCATCTTCAGCTAATTTGACAGTAAGTGCAGCAGAAGAATCGGCATCTCCAGCATCGTTGGAAACAACAACCTTGTAGTCAGCTCCATCGTCAACTTGGGCGTTTGGAATCTCGAGTGAATAGGATCCGTCTCCATTGTCCTTGGTCTTGGCATCAGGGATTTCTTTTCCATTTTTGTACCATTTGACTCCTTTGACTGGTCCCTTGACCTTGACATTGAACGTGGCAGTTTCACCTTGTTTAACAGTTGTCGGTACCAATCCAGAGACAATTTCTGGTTTGGAGCTCACATTGACTTTAGCCTTTGATTCGATTTCTCCTGCCTCGTTTGCAGCAGTGACACTGTACTCTCCAACATCAGTTTCTTTGAAATCTGGGATAGTGAGACGATACTTTCCGTTTCCGAGATCTTCGACTTTGCCGGCCTTGATCTCGTCTCCGTTTTTGTACCATTTCACATCCTTTGGTTTTCCTTCGATTTCTACTTCCAAAACCAATGGGGTACCCTTTGGAACTGATTGATCAGAAAGTCCCTTCTTGAATGATGGAAGACTGATCTTTTCAGCCGCTTTGGAAACAGTGACAGTGGCAGAAGATTCAACATAAAGAGAATCAGTAGAGAGAACAACACGGTAAGAGCCGGAATCAGAAAGCTCTCCACTCTCGATTTCGAGTTTGTATTCCGACTCTGTGACCTGAGTGATCTTTGTTGTCGAAGAGCTGGTGACGGTTTCAGATCCTTTGTACCATTTGACAGTCTTTGGTTTTCCTTCAACTTCAACAGAAAGAAGAATCTTGCTACCTTGAGTAACAGAAACATCATTAAGACCCTTCTTGATCTTCAGAATCTCTGCTGGGATGACGGTAAGTGGAGCCTTGCTGTTGGCAACTCCAGCATCATTCGATACTTCGATACGGTAGTTTCCTTGGTCTTCAGTCTTGGATTCTTCAATGACAAGTCGTTGAGTTCCATCTTCAGTAGATTCGAAGTGGATTCTCTTATCTTCCTTCAGCTCGGATCCATCCTTGAACCACTTCACATCTGGCTTGGTTCCGGAAACCTTGCATTCAAACTTGGCAGTTTCAGTTTCCTTGACTTGGATAGCAGAGAGATCTTTGAAGAATCCAGGAGCAATATGAGAAGGTTCTTTGACAGTAAGAGTGACGTCACTCCATACGTCTCCGAATTCATTGGAAGCCTCACAGCGGTACTCATCCATATCACTGAGTTGAGCATTCGGAACAGAGAGTTTTTGAGTTCCATCATCCAAATTTTCGATCTTGATCTTATCGGATGGCTTGAGCTCTTCTCCATTCTTGTACCACTTGACAGTTGGCTTTGGTTTTCCGGAGACCTTTCCTTCAAGAACAGCAGTTTCTCCAACAGTGACAACAGCTGGTTTGACTGGTTGCAAGAAGTCTGGAGCCTCTCCATCAATCTTTGGAGCTCCCTCTAAGGTAACGATGATTGGTCCTTCGGTCCAAGCACTTCCGTACTCGTTTTCAGCTTCACATCTGTATTCTCCAGCATCAGCTTGAGTCGCATTGTCAAATGTCAACGTGAGAGTTCCATCATCCTTGTGTTCAGCACGGACACGAGCAGACATCTCAACTTCTTTTCCTTCCTTGGTCCACTTGATTTTTGGACGTGGTTCTCCCTTGACCTTGCATTTGAGAACAACTTGGCTCTTTTCTGTGACTGTGCAAGAACGAAGCAGTTCAACGAATTCTGGGGCTCCGCGTCCGGTGTCAGTCTTGGAAGAAGCCGTTTCTGAAAATAATAAAAATGAGAATTATGTTAGCGAATAATATGTTTTCTAAAAACTGAAAGGGATAAGTGCTACATAAGTGCTACACTACATGCAAAACGACGATACCTCCGACAGTCTCCAACTGTCCAATCTCTTCAAGTTGACCACTTTCGTCAGTGATATGTTCTTCGACTTTAGAAGCAAATTGAATCTTCAAATCAGCCTTTGTATCAGCCTTTCCAGCAACGTTGACCGCTTCACAACGATAAGCTCCAACATCTTCCTTCTTGGCGTTTTGGATGGTAAGTTTGATGTTTCCATCTTCGAGAACTTCAAGTTGCATGTGTTGTCCGATCTCCACTGGTTGATCATTTTTGAAAAATTTGATTTGTGGATGAGAGTCCTTGTTGACTTTACATTCAAGGACAACAGTATCTCCTTCATTGGCGAATGTCTCCTTCAGCGGTTCAATGAACAATGGTTTCACTTCTTCCGCAGTTTGTTTTTCGAACGAATACTTTGGAACCTTGAGTTCTCCGATGGTCTCATCCTTACCAGCTTTGTTGGTAGCTTGGCAGGTATACTTTCCAAAATCAGCAGAATTGGTATCCTTGATGATGAGAGTATGAGATCCATTTTCTCCCTTTTTCTCAATCACGTGTTTATTATCAATTGCAATCGGAGCTCCATCCTTAAACCATTTGACTTCTGGCTCAGGTTTTCCTTCAACTCGAACTTCCAGTTCGACTGGTTTTCCTTGTTCAACTTCATATGGTTTGAGTCCTTGAACAAACAGTGGTGCTTCAATTTCTTCCTGAACAGCCATATTTGCAGTTGTCTTCGCTTCTCCAGCTTCGTTTGTTGCCTTGCATGTGTACACTCCAACATCTTCTCCTCTGGCTTGTTTGATTGTAAGGGTGTGATGTCCAGATCCTTCGTCCTTGGCAAAAATGTGAGCGTTGTCAATATTGATTGGCTTATCATCCTTGAACCACTCAACGTTTGGAGCTGGAGTTCCGATGACAGTAACCTTCAAATCAAGAGTCTCCTGCTCTCTGACTTCCAATGGACGCAGTTTCTGAGTGAATTCTGGAGGAATCGAGTCTCTGATGATTCCAAAGTTGGCTGTCGTGAGTGCTTCTCCAGCTTCGTTTCTTGCACGACACGAATAAATTCCAACATCTCCTTGCCTAGCGTCGTTGATGGTAAGGGAGAAGCTTCCAACGGCAGTCTGTTTCTGGATCACATGAACATTGTCAATGTTGATTGGAGTATCGTCCTTGAACCATTCAACAGCTGGCTCTGGTTTTCCGACAACTTTCACAGCCAAAGTGATCGATTCCTTCTCCTTGACCTCCACTGGTGACAGCTTCTCAACGAATTCTGGTGGAGCCAAATCCTTGACAACGGCAAAATTGGCCTCGGTTTTGGCTTCTCCTGCAGGATTGGTAGCACGACAAGCATATTTACCAGAATCTTCAGTTCTTGCGTTGTTAATGGTAATTGAATAGCTTCCAAAACCTTCGACTTTAGCGATGACATGACTGGAATCAGTTTGAACTGGTTGTCCGTCCTTAAGCCACTCAACACTTGGCTCTGGAACTCCTTTCACAGTCACAGACAACGTTGCAGTCTCGTTGATCTTCACTTCGGTTTGAACCAACTCCTTAACGAACGTTGGTTTTTCAAGCGATTTTGAGACTTCGGCTTCAGCAGTCGATTCAGCAGTTCCTGCTGGATTCGTAGCTTTGGCAGTGTACTTTCCAGCATCAGTCGTTTCAGCTTGTTTGACAACCAAAGTGAATACACCAGTCTCTGGATTCTTTTTGATCTCGTGATTTCCATCCTCGCTGACTGGTTTATCATCCTTGAACCACTCAACATCTGGAGCACTTCCACCAACTTTAACTTCCATCTTGATCTCTTCTTTTTCTTTGACAGACGTCTTCTTCAATCCTTGCTCAAATACTGGAGCCTCAACTTTAGTAGTGACCTTGGATGTTGAGGTAGCAGTTCCGATTGAGTTGGTGGCAACAGCCTTATAAGATACGATATCTTCTTTTGTTGTTTGACTGATAACCATTCTCCAATGAGTATTCGCTTGGTCATGCTCAATTGCAATTCTGCTTGAAGATGTGATCTTCTTCTCCACTTTGGTAGTTTCAGAGAACGAATAAAAATCAACATGCGGTTGTGGGGATCCCTTGACTGAGCACGAAAGTATCAATTTCTCTCCAATCGAGAGTTCCTTGTTCTGTAGTTCCTTTGTGAACACTGGTGCTTCGCCTGGAAAAAATGGGAAAGAGTGCAAAGTGCGAAGTGGGAAAGAAAACCAAAAGAAACCGAGCAATCACAACCGTGGTGGATGGTGGGCTCACGCAAATAACATGGATAGTGAGATAGAAAAGAACTAACCTTGAATAGTCAAGAATGCTTCAGTCTTCGAAGTTCCTTCGGAATTCTCAGCAATGCAAGTGTATTTTCCTTGATGAGTGAGCTCAGTTGATGTGATTGTTACTCTCTCGACTCCTTCCACCGATTCAATTTTGATGGATTCTTGAGTGATGGTCTTCTAAAAAACAATAATTATTAAAATATATTTTTAACTATTCAACTTACATTATCATGAAGCCAGCTGACTTTTGGCTTTGGCTCTCCAACAACTTTGCACTCGAGAACAACCTTCTCAGAAGTCTTCGTGGTCTTATCCTGAAGAGCAACAATGAATTCTGGAGCCTTGTTGTCCGTCTTCTTCTCCAAAGTCTCAATAACAGTCAATGTTGCTTCGCAAGTGTCTTTTCCTGCAGTATTCTCAACAACGCATGTGTATTTTCCGGCATCTTCAGGAGTGACATTATCAAGAATAAGCTCTTGAGTGATGTGTCCTTCTGGTCCAGTTCTCGTTTGAACGCGAATTCTGGCAATCAGCTCAATCTCTTTTCCGTCCTTTAGCCACTTGCAGCACACTCCCTTTGTATCTGGGACAACGCATTCGAAAACGGCAGAATGTCCCTTCTTGGCCTTCGTATCCTTGATCTTTGTGATGAATTTAGGTGCCATGACTGGAGTTGGAGTACGGTGCATTTCCTCGCGAAGGCTTTCGTCTTCAGTCAAATCATCTCCAACAAACTCTTCAGCTTGAGCTTCACTCTCCGATTCGCTGAACATATCGGAAGTGTAAGTGATCATATTTGCAGTGCAAGACACTTCTCCAGCATCATTTTCAGCTTTGCAAATGATCTCTCCAACGTGGATATCTGGATTGAAGCTGTTGATTGTCAATGTGGAAGTCTTGTCATCAGTAACAATTGTGTAAAGATCCGAGTTGAGAATCTCTTTATTGTTAATGTACCAGGTAAGACTTGGTTTCGGATCTCCAGTGAACACAACCTTGTGAACAACCTTGGTTCCAGTGCGAGCACGAACATTGCTCAGCCATTCCAAGAAATCTGGTGGCTCTCCACGTGGAAGAACGAGTAGCGTGGCTTCAGAAGTTGCTTTTCCGTATTCGTTGATAGCTTCACAGACGACTTGTCCAGAGTAATCACAAGTGATATCTTTGATAGTGACTGTGTATGTTCCTTTCTCAGAATGAATCTTGATGTTCTGTGATTCTTCCAACTTCTTTCCATTGACGTACCACGATACAACTGGTTCTGGTTCTCCAAGCAATACAGCCTTCAATTTGAGAGTATCCCCTTCTCTGCACGTGGCATCGCAAAGGGAAGTTTCGAATTCAACTGGGATCGGAGCAACCACTTTGAGTGGTCCTTCAATGCTTGCTTCTCCTGCTTTGTTGTAAGCGACACACTTGATTTTTCCTGTCATATCAGAAGTGACACCATGAATCTTCATAGTGTATACTCCATTTGCATTCGAGATTTCTGTATCTTCAGTGGCACAAACAAGTTGTCCATTGATGTACCATTTGACGAATGGAGTTGGGTCTCCAGTTATTAGAAGTTTGCATTCCAGAGTATCTCCTTCGGTGAGATTAATTGGGGCGATATCGCTTTGGAATGCTGGTTTAGCCATTGGACGACCCTTGACAACTCCAAGAGAAGCTGAAGTTTCAGCAAGTCCGAATTCGCTTTCAGCCTTGATTGTGATTCTTCCCTTATCATCCAATTTGGTGGTCAGAATGCTCAACTTCAGAGTTCCATCTTCCTCTTCGACCAATTTGTAGTGATCATCAGACTTGATTTCAACTCCATCCTTGAGCCAAGTGATCTTTGGTTTCGGTTTGACAGCATTCAACTTGGCATCCATAAGAGCGAGTTCTCCCTCAGTTACCAGTCGATCTTCAAGATTCTTAGCAAACGTTGGAGCTTCTCCGACCTTCTTGACCGCTAATTGAACATCTCTCTTCTTGGATCCAACTGCATTCGTGGCTTCACAAGACAGCTCTCCGGCTTGTTCTGGAGTCACAGCTGCGATTTCGATGGTATGTTCTCCGTCCTTATCGGTCACAGTGATGTTTCTAAAAATATATTATGAGTTTGAAAATATCTAGGATTTAACTTACGCATGCTTGGCAACTGGCTCTCCATTCAATGTCCAGGCAACAGAAGGTTCTGGATACCCTTCCACATTCGCAGTAAACTTGACGTTATCTCCTTCCTTCACTTGTCTGTCATCCATATTCGTGGTGAATTTTGGAACTTCAGTCTTTCTGTCAACCTTCAATTGAGCTGTTGCTTCAACCTTTCCAGCCACATTCACTGCCTCTACTCTGATTGTTCCGTTGTGTTCCATAAGTGGTTTATGAATTCGAATGGATGTTTTCCCGGTCTCATGGACGTACTTCACTTTCACTTCTTCACTTTGAATCAATTTCTTGTCATTCAAGAACCACGACACATTTGGCATTGGTTTTCCAGTGACAATTGCACTGAACTTCACACTCTCTTCGATATTTGTCTCGTGATTTTGTGGAGCTTGGATGAATTCTGGTTTCTTGTTTGCTCCATTTACAGTGACCTTTGCAGTTGACTCGCATTCTCCTGCTGCGTTCTTCGCTTTGGCAGTAAGTGTTCCAGACATATCTGGCTTTGCTTCTGCAATTGTTACATGATACGTTCCATCTCCATGATCAACCACTTGTACAGTATCACTTTTGGTAAGTGGTTGCCCGTTGAGAAGCCAAGTGACTTCTGTTCCTTGGAATGGTCCATCCAATTCAAGATTCCAACGAAGTGGTTCTCCTTCGTCGACAGTTCTGTCGGTGAGTTGAGACTTGAACTTCGGTGCAGCCACATTGGGTTCGACTTTGAGATCAGCTTGTTTGGTGTCTTGTCCAGCAGAGTTTTGAGCTGTAACCTTCACAGTTCCAGTCTGTTCAATCTTTGCATTTGAGATCTTTAGAGTATAAACATCTTCAGTTTTGATTGTGGTAACTGTTGGTGATTCTTCTACAATCTTTTCGTTGATAGTCCATTTGACAATTGGAGCCGGGAAACCAGTGATGGTAGCCTTGAATTCAGCGGTTTCAGTTTCCTTGATAGTAACAGATTTTGGTCCATCAACAACAATTGGAGTAGTAGATGGTGGATTTACAGTCAATGTCGCAGACGATTCAGAAGTTCCGACTTCGTTTGAAGCTTCAATTGTGATTTTTCCGGAATCTTCAGCGTTTGGAATGATGAGCGATGACTTGTTCTCCTCATTTTTAATAGTGATGCCATTCTTTCCGTCTTCCAAAAGATTTCCATTTTGGTACCATTTGTATTCTGGCGAGTGGAGTGCAATCACATCCATCTGGACAGTGTCTCCCTTGGTGACTTCCATATCACGAAGTTTATCAGTGAATTCTGGTTTCTTTGTTTCTTTCGGAGTCTCCAAAACCTTCAAATCGGTCTTTGTCTCAACTGATCCAGATGCATTCAATGCAACAACAGAAACCACTCCACTTCCGAAAACAGTTGTATCAATCGAACAACGGAATTCGAATTGATCATCTTTAGAAACAGTGACGCCTTGAGCAGTTGTAATTTCCTTTCCATCCAAGAACCATTTGATTTCTGTAGCATGTTCAACCACAACTTCGAAATGAGCCAAATCCGTTTTGTTGACTGTTTGCGATTTGAGGTCTCGGGTGAGCTTTGGCGCTGGAGGCTGAAAATGTGAACATTACGAAAAAAAATGAAAAGGATTTGAAAATTTGTATTCAACTTTTTTCACGACACTCACTCTTTCAAGAATTGGATAAACACAATATTTCCAGATTTTCCCAAAACTTCAAGCTATAAAAATTTAAAAATTATGGTTTATACAATTTTGAGTGATTTCAATTAAATAATTTCGAAAAGTTTTATTACTTTATAAGCAAAAATTGATTATTTTGAAAAAATTGGCTATCAACCGGTTTAGGACAGCCTACTTTTTCCAAGAGGTTCTAGAATTAGAAACTGAATATTTTTGATTAAAAAAACTGACCTACATATCTAATAGAGAATTCCTAAGGAGAAAAAGGGTGGCACTCTATTAGAGGAAATACGGTAATGCATTGATTACTGAAAAACTCATTTTGCTGAATTAAAACAGCTCCTAATAAAGTTCCTAGATTCAGAGTGCATAATCTTTTTAAAAAGTGAACCCATTTTTGAGGGTTTAAAAAAATTGTATGCACCGAGACAGCTCATGGCGTATTTCCTTCAATAGGTGCCCACCCAAACCGTCAACCTTGAGCTCAATTATATCGATTCCGATGAGAGACATCAACAATTTGTCAACTGATAAAATATTGACAGTTGGCAAAGTTTTGGTATATTTCACAGGAATCGAGATAATTGAGCTCAATTTCGGTTGTGCTTCTATTATAGGGAATAGTAAAATAATATTATTTAATTCAGATCTAAAAACCCGGTCAGAAAATATAAAATAAATGCTGTTTTGTCAAATTCTCTCCGAATTGATTTAAATCTTATTTTCGATTTCAAAAAATCTTTTGACTTCGTCTTAAGGAGCTACAATGTGAATAAATCATTTGAAAAAAAGCGTTGCGATTTTTTCAGATATTTCCTACAGTCAGCTAGTAGTCAAAAATTCACATTTCCTATAACTAAACATACCGTAAAACCTGAAATAGGAGGGCTCCGACACAGTCAAGTTTGAGATAATTTTTCTCGGCCCCTTTGTAAGATATCAAAAATGTGTCAACAGATAAAATGTTTCTGAAATTATGATAAACAATTTCTCAGTTAACATCCTTTTGATATCTTTGACAGGGGCCGAGAGAAAAACTCAAAGTTAAATGTTCGCGGCTCTTCGATTGCAGGTTCTACGGTAGTTCTACTTTTTGTAATATTTTCATAATTGTTTTCCACAGAAGGTGATTCAGCACGGTTTTCAGCTTAACTAACCACTTCTTTTCCATCTTCTATCTGTTCTCTCTCTCTCTCTCTCTCTCTCTCTCTCTCTCACACACACACACACACACACACTTTCTTCACAAAAATCTTCAAGTTTTTTTTTCTAAAAATCGGTCTCTCACAATCCTACCAAACATTACCTTCTCGGCTTCTGGAGATTTCGACTTCTTCTGTTTCTTTGTCGGCGAGCCTGGTGGAGATTTCTTTATTGGAGATGTTACTTCTGTAGTCGTTGTAGATGATTTTTCTGTCTTCGTTGTTTCTGAAGAAGTGATTTCTTTTTCCACTACAGTATCCGGTGATCTCTCTTTTTTGATTGGAGATTTGACATCTTCTGCTCCAGTTGATTTTTCAGGCGATTTCTCCTCCTTCGTTGGACTCTTTGGCTTCTCCTCGATCTTCTCGGGAGACTTTTCTTTTTTCGTTGGAGATTTCACAGCCTCCTCTGCTGTCTTCTTGGTTGGAGATGTTGGTTTTTCTGGCGATTTCTCTTTTTTCGTGGGCGATTTCACCTCTTCGGTTGCAGATTTTTCTGGGGATTTCTCTTTCTTGATTGGAGTTTTCACCTCTTCAGTGGTTGACTTTTCTGGGGATTTCTCCTTTTTGGTTTGGCTAGTTGGTTTCTTTTCAACCTGCTCCGGAGGTTTATCCTTCTGGGTCGGAGAAGTTGGTTTTTCGTCAGCCATTTTCTCAGGACTCTTCTCCTTTTTGGTTGGAGACTTCACTGCTTCCTCAAACTTTTCAGGTGACTTGGCCTTCTTTGGAGATGCAGGTGGAGATTTCTTCTGGGTTGGGGAAGACGGCTTCTCTTCTATCTTTGTGGGAGACTTTGGTGGAAACGGAGAGCCAGGCTGATCTTCAGTCTTCTTGGTTGGAGATGTTGGTTTTTCAGGTGACTTCTCCTTCTTTGTAGGACTCTTTGGTTTCTCTTCCACCTTTCCTGGTGACTTTTCTTTCATAGTTGGAGACTTCGCTTCTTCAGAAGTCTTGGTCACTTCCGCCGTGGCTTCTGTCTTTTTAATTGTCGTTTCAGAAGACACCTCCACAATATTTTTGGCTTCAGGAGATTTCTCCTTTTTAGTTGGAGACTTGACTTCCTCGCTTCTAACTGGGCTCTTCTCCTTCTTCGTTGGACTCTTCACTTTTTCCTCTGACTTTTCTGGAGATTTCTCCTTTTTAGTTGGAGACTTCACAGCCTCCTCTGCATTCTTCTTGGTTGGAGATGTTGGTTTCTCTGGCGATTTCTCTTTTTTCGTGGGTGATTTCACCTCGACGGTTGTAGATTTTTCAGGTGATTTTTCCTTCTTGGTTGGACTTTTTGGTTTTTCCTCCACTTTCTCTGGTGTCTTTTCTTCCGTTGTCGGGCTCTTTGGTTTCTCATCAGACGTCATCTCTGGAGACTTCCCTTTCTTCTCCGGAGTCGGACTCTTCTTTTTCTTTCTCTCAGGATCAATTACTTCTTTTGGTGGTTCTTCTTCAGCAAATGAGACTCTTCTCTTCGGAGTTCCTTCTCTAACGTCAGTTTGTGATTCCGTCTTTGAGACCACCTCAATCTTGCTCACACTGATGCTTCCTTCTGTTGAGCCTCCTCCGATAATTCCCGTAGTTGTCGCGGATTCCGATTCCTTCGTCTCGACAGTCACACCTCCAACTGTAGACGTCACTTCGGTGGTGGACATTGTCGTTGTCTTCGTTGAAGTCAACGAAGTTTCCATTGTGATTGTAGTCGTTGCTTCCGGAGAAGCTTCTTTTGCCTTTAATTTATTTAAATAGTACCTAGAGTTGTTTGGTTTGGTTAGTTGGATAACTAACAGATTTCACTTTTTCAGAAAGTATTCAAAATTTAATATGTTTTCATCGATTCTGAAAACGTGAAGTCTTTTAAAATTTGTGTTAATTCCTAATGTTATTGGTAGAAGCTTCTAAAAAAGAAGTGGTTGATTTTGCTTAGAATCGTGCTAAGAAAATTATTCAGAAGTTTTCAGAAAATTTAGGTATAGTTTTCTTTTTAATTTCAATATTTAGATATTAATTATTTATCTCGAAGTTCTGGGAAATATGCGGAAAAATAGACACGGCAAACCATGCACCCATCTGTAAGACCTACCTGTTGAATAGATTCAGAAGACGTTTGGACTTCTGAAGTGGACTTTTTCGAGTCTGTTTCATCGCCGACGACACTTTCCTGAACATGCAAAACAAAATGAAACATACAGCAAGAAAGAAATGATTGGGATTCAATTGGGTGGAATTTTCATTTTTGTAGTTGCAAAAAAGAAAAGTTTGGAGAATTTCAAATGGGTATTATGAGTTTTTTGATGAATTTTACTTGAAGTAGAATACCGAAAAACCTGTATTAGAAGGACCGACCCGTCTATAGTTCCAAGTAATCTCTGGAGGGTCCGTCTATTACAGGAGCCTTTCAATTAGAGGGGCCCTTCTATTATTCCAAACAGTTTTCCGAAAATTTTCATTGAAAAACATGGTGGATTCTGGTTCAAATTTCATGAAAATCTATTAATTACACCAAAAGTAAAACTGCCCTCTATTACAGGGGCTGTTCAATTAGAGGAGGTCTTTTATGTTTCTGGTCATTTTTTCCTAAAATTTTCATCAAAAAGTTTGGGTAATCCTGATTTAATTTTTGTAAAAACCTATCAATTACACCAAAAGGTAAACTGCCCTCTATTGGCTGTTCTATTTTTCCAGGCCTCTCTAAGAGACGACCTTTAATTAAACGGTCCCTTGTAATACAGGTTTAGGATCAGTAAAGTTACGAAAACGTTTTCCACCAATTAAATCCCAATCACCACAGCAACAAAAAACTGAAAATATGGACAAAAAAAACTCTCTGCAGCCCTATTATTACCTGAATATGACATGGTGGTATTGAGATCTTACAGAAATTACAGTTTTTGCTTTCACTTTTATCACAGTCTGACAGCAAATTGAATGAAAAGTTTGACTCAATAACACAAAATTGGCTATGTATGAAGCTTTCATGAATCGATAATTACCGTAAAAACACCAATAGAGTGCCACCCACCGTCATTCTTGAGCCCTTCTATCTCATTTCCTGCAAAAGATATCAAAAAATGGTCAATTTTCGAATTCACCACTTTTTGATACTTCTCACAGGAAATGAGATATATGGGCTCAACGTTGACAGTTTGGGTGGCCCTCCATGAGAGTGTTTATGGTAGTTTTAGCCAATAAGAACTGAACGTGTTCTAGAAACCTGTACATCTTCAGACATCTTGACGTATTGAAAGAATCGAAAGACGTCGCATTGAAAGCAAGAAAATAATTCCGATAGACTCAAAACCACCAGTATCATTTTGAACCCAGTTAACATATCACTTCCCAGAAAAACAACCAACCTTCTTTGGTTCGATCGTCAGCTGGGCGCCCGTCTCTTCGGCTCCGAGTGTATTTTCTGCGACAACAGAAATAGTTAGATGGTTCACTTCGGAATAGTATGTCGCCGTGTCGATCGTCAGGATCGATGCGCCGTCGACGGTGCTCTCGTCACGTGTTACGTGCGCCCCTTCCTGTCCATCACGCACCTGAAAATTGAGAAAGATGTGAAAATGGGTGATTGTGAAACTGGGTAAATATTTTGGAATGCTTGAAATCTAAAAAAGAGATAAAGATGCTGACAAAAAACCCACCTTTCTTCCATTAATTGACCACTCATATGTTGGAAGTGGAATTCCGAATGCGTGAGCAGTGAACACAGCTTCAGATCCCTTCTCAACAGTCAAACTCCTTGGCCTCAAATCGAATTCAGGAGCGAATGGTTTTTTCTGAACTTTCAACGTTGCTCTTGTCTCATCGAATCCTTCCGAATTCGTAGCAACTGCCTTGATTTCTCCGGCCTCCTCAATCTTGATATTTTTGATTTGAAGCTTGATGGATCCATCGAATTCTCTGATTTCAACACGATCCGATTGTTTCAATTCTTCTCCTTTTAGATACCACGTCACAGTTGGTTTTGGTTCTCCCTCAACACGAACTTCAAAAACGACTGTATTGTCGACTGTTTCGATTTTGTCGACAAGAATTTCGACGAATTTCGGTGGTTTCTTTTGTTTTTCTGGTGCCAACACGATAAGTCGAGCTTTCGTTTCGAATCGTCCTACTGCATTCTCAGCTCTGGAAAAAAGACTTTGTGAAATTATTCCGTTAAAGAGAAAACGCTTACCTGCAAAGTACAGTGCCCGCGTACTGTGCTGAGTCGATCGTCAGTTTGTGATCGTGATTGTGCGCCTCGATCTTGACGCCCGGACTTCCTTGATCCATCTTGTGCCCGTTGATGAACCAAGTGACCTCCGGGTTCGGATTTCCGCGAACGGTGGTCTCAAAGACGGCGAATTCGCCGGTTTTTACGGTCTGAAAATTAAAAAAGTTGAATGTTTTATCAGTCGAAATTGGGTCTTTATGAAAAAGTTTTGCTTTTTTGAAAGAATGAGAAATTATGATTCTGAAAGTTTAAAAAAAACTGGAAATTTAAAATAAGGCTCTTTTTTAGAAACCATATAAGGTAGTTTAGAAGAGATAAGATAGATTTCAAACAATTTCAATAATCAGTTTTTAAAGACTTGTTTGAATTCGACGTTGTGGAAATTTTTCGTAAAACCTGTAATAGAAGGGCTCCCTAACTTTTGACTTCGAGCCAATTTTTCTCGGTTCTTGTCAAACCAATCAATAAGTTTCAGGAATTCTTTGGCAAAACTCGTGGAGTGAGCTATCTTTTCTGTTGGTGAGCCGGAGAGAAATCATCGTCAAATGGCAACTGTTTTTCGAGTAAAATTGCAGAGTTCTCAAAATGCTTAACTGTACTTTTGAAACGATTTAGGGATAATAATACCTCCTCCTGGAACGAGTAAATCAACAAATTTAGATAAGCATCCTAAAAACAATAACACATAAAACTAGTATTCAAAATCAAAAAGTCGATGGATCACTAAATTTTTGAAATTTTTCAGAAAATAAAGAAACATCTGATCGTGTTAGGAGCAAGGGAGATTCCGACGGATGAAGAAACAACAAAAAACAAAAAGCGTGTGAAAAAAAGATCTTGAACCGTCTCTCCATGATATGATTGGAATCTCTCACTCTCGTTTGTCTCCTTTCGAAATATCTCTTTCATGATGTTACACTGATCAACGAGAAGACGAGTGGGTCCCGGATTGAAAATAGTGTACTAATCAGAGAGAGGGAATGAGAGATCAGTGAAGGTGGCATTGCTAGATGGCATCCACCTCCACAGAACAAAAAATGAAAGAGAGGGGGAGAAAGGGAATCTCGAGAATCTTTGTTTACCAGACCTTTGGGGGACCAACAAAAAAAAATGAAAAAGGGACCAGATTGGTGGGAATTAACCTTTGAAACGAAAAAAACAATATGCGATTCTGTGAGATAGGAACTTCCACAATTTTTTTCACAACACTTTTCATGATTCCGAATTGCAAAACATACCTGATCTTCAATATCCTTAAGGAACGTCGGCGCACTGCGTGATTCCTCTTCTTCTTGTTCAACGGTAAGCCGTGCCCTGCTTTCCGCTGTTCCATGTTCGTTTTGAGCTTTCGCCACAATCTCTCCATCGTGTTTTTCGATCGAAGTATTCGGGATAGAAATACGATAGAAACCGTCGTGCCCTACGATTTCAACGCTTTCTTCACCGTGTTTCAACTGGAAACATCCTTTTTTTCAAAACAAAAGTTTTTTAAAGAGAAACTCACTTCTTTTCCACAAAGAGTGAATTTTACAGTTGGTTCTGGCCAGCCACTAACATCGACTTCAAAGACAACCTACAAAAATATAAATGTGGTATGGAGCTGTAGTTTTCAAAAAAAATACTTACTGTACTCTTTTCTTGAACAGTTTTATCTTCGAGTGGTTTGTTGAAAGTTGGTGGTGCTGGAGGCACTCTGACTTTCAGTCTTCCATCACAAGACGCAGATCCCAATCGGTTAGATCCTTGACATGTGACCATTCCATCGAAATGTCTCGTTACATCCTTAATCGTCAAAATGCAAATTCCATCTTCAGAAATGAATTTGACTTTTTCCGATTCGCTGAGTGGTTTTCCGTTGATGAACCATGTGATTTCTGGATTTGGATCTCCAGTTATCACTGATTTGAATCTCACTTCTTCTCCTTCATCACATTCCACATCTTCAATCATCGCTTGGAATTCTGGAGCCACATGATTCTTGTCTGGATCGGCTTGCACGAATAGTTCGGCTTTGCTTTCAATCGATCCGAATTCATTTTGAATCTTAACAGTGTACACTCCAGTATCATCTGGTTGAGCATCACGAATCTCCAGTTTTGCTGTCTGTCCATCATATTGCAATCGGAAGTCGTGAGACGGTCGGAGTGGTTGATCATCGACAAGCCATACAAGTTCTGGTTCTGGCCATCCTTCAACTTCACATTCGAAATCAATAACATCACCTTCCTTGCATTCTTTGTCTTTCAGTTTTGTAACGAATGCTGGTGGAGCCGCCTCTTTTTCAACTTTCAGAACTCGGAAGAACGCTGAAGTGGATGCTTGTCCGTACTCGTTCGTGGCCATACAAGTATATCGACCCGTATCAGTGACCTACAGAAAAATAACGTTTTGAGTGGACCAGTTTTTATTGTTCGGTGCATTTTTTTTCAGAATAAATTCTGAACAACGGAAACTCTCATTTTTCAGAATATCAAACAAACAAAAAACTCACTTGAACTGGATCAATAGTCATCGCAAAGAAACCATCCTCATCAGAATAGAATGTGTGTCTTCGTCTTCGTGAAGTTGAACATCGTCTTTGTACCATGTGATATCTGGAAGTGGATATCCAGTCACTTTCAGACACATTTTCGCAGAAGATTCTTGAAGAGTTCGGAATCCGTATTGTGTTCTTGTGACACGAGTTCCTTGCATTTCAAGAGTCGTTCCGGTGGTTGCTGCAAAAGTTTGAGTATTTTAGTTTTTATTGGAAATTTTGGGAGTCATACTCCAATCAATACTGCTACTTCCTCCGGAATAGATACTGGTGGAAGATCCTGTTGGAGAAATCACCGGAGGTGACTTCACCTTTTTCCGTGGTGGACCACCTTCTTCTGGACCTGTAAATCTTTTTTTTTATTTGTTCCTGTCTCTCTTTTTAACATTGAAATTCACTTCATATTTAAACATAAAGCGTTAGCAAAATTTCAGATGTTTAGTTTTATAGTTCTTTTTTACGACTCTATTTGAACTTTCTACTATCTTCAGTTGAAATCCCATTTAAAAAAAAAACTACACATTTGAACGCCAGATTTCACCACAAGAAGCAACTGTTTTGAAACAAAAGACAACAAGTTACACTTGTTTTTTTTAAATGGAGTTGTTAGTTTTTTTTTCAAAATCAAGTATTATTACACACTACAAACAACACAAATAACCAAACCAGGGAACAAGCTGCTCTTTCGAGAGCCCGACCATTCCGAGAATTCGGACTGTTGGTCGGACACATTCATATCAAAATCAACCGATGATGCGGTCATTTCGGATGTTGCAGTCATCGAGATTGCATCTCGTTCCGCAGCTAGAAATCGTTGAAAATTGGACATTTAAAAACTTACACCATGATGGATCGACGAGCTCGAGACCTCCTTCCTCGGTATCGGTTAACTCGATAATATAAAGTGTCTTGAGCACCATGGCTCAGGACAGAATAAAGTACGAGGACTACTGTCTATATGAGGATGAGGAATACCGTAATTGAATCAATAGAAGATGATGACGAGAATGGTGGAGGTTAAAAAGAGAAAAGAAACAGAAGAAGAAGATTCTTTATGTGTCCTCCTCCTATCTCCTCTATGTGTGTGTCGAGTATGTGGTGTATAGCCGGGGGCTAAAGCTTCCACTGATAATGCAGCCTGCTGGGCTTCAGAAGAGCACGCCGATCAGAGAGACGCAGCACGCACCGGTGGGCGATTACACACGGTGTGAGTGTGTGGCAGATGCTCTCTTGCCAAGGATCCCGTCGACCCATCAGCAGCACCGATAGACGGGGAGGGGAAAGATAGAAGATTTTTTCACTTCTTGTGTGCATCTGTATGTCTGCGTGTCCCATCAGAAACTCTTTCAGGGGGCACAACTAGGGGCCGAAGTGTCCGGGAGTGGTCCTCGGGTCCCATTGAGTCACTTGTTCTTCCCGTAGAAAATGAAAAGAGAACAAGTGATCGTTGTTGTGATGTTCGTTTGATTTGTAGAGAACAAGAAAAGATAACATGATGTTAAGATGAGAATACACTTTTTCTGAGGACAAAATGACTTGGGTTTTCTTAGGAATTAGGATTTAAGTTTTTATTTATCTTTTTTAGATAGTTTAATTTCTGATTTCAGGAACTGAAAGTTCATATGTACCCTATTTCGATATAATGTTTCTTTTGTACTTTTTCTTCTAGGTTCTTCTTCTTTTCATCATCTTTTTGTTCTTTCCACATCACAAGTGTTTTATCATCCCTTCCTCTTATTCTCTTAATTTTTGTGTACTTTTTTCCCTCTTCCACTCATTTATCCGAACACGAAAAAGTTACGAGCTCGTCGAATCCGATTACTGTTTGTTACCCCCTCCCCCTTTCTTCCAATGTTTGTGGTCGGAAAGGTTCCAAGAGGCTTTTAAGACTTACCATACTTCCCTTGTTCTTCTGCAATATCCTTCAGCCATGCTTTTCTTACATACTCCGCAGTTTCAAAATCTTTTGGTTTTATTCTGAAATTCTAATGATGAAATACTTTCTAGAATTTGTTATTACCTGAAACTCGGGAGTCCTGGTTCTTGTGGTTGCAGTACAATAGTATCCTCATCAGTTGAATGTTGCCTGATATTGTATTTATCCAATCGGATAGATGAATAATGAGTATAACTCGGTGGAGAAGTGGACGCATCTTGCTCTGTGAACATTATTTTGTTTCGGAACAAGAAGACGTAGCGGAGTTTAGGGGCCTCGTCGCCTTCCCAAACTTGGAAAGCGTCCTGAATTTATCGATTAAATGAATATCTCTTCCTTTTTTGTATCTTACATGTCTGATGATTCTTCCTAGTTTTCCAGTGTCTCCTGGATGTTGCTTCAAATTGCTTGTGAATTCCAAATCAATCACTCTATAACAAAATACCGAATAATCGATAGTTCTACATCAAATACCTTTGTGGAATAGTAGTGACCAATTCCAAAGCTTTCTGAATACTTTTTGATGAACCGTGAGCTCTTGCAGAGTACTTGACAAATTCTTTGAAATAGTTTTGATACTGGACCATTCTATCGGCAATTTCTTTGACATGATCGACGAACGAGGATGCTCCAGCATCATTTTTTGCAGAGAGTCCCTACAAAAATTAAAATTAGGACTGTATCAATGATCTACCGTAAAACCTGTAATAGAAGGGCCCCTAACTTGTAACTTTGAGCCAATTTATCTCGGGTTAAAGATATAAAAAATTTCTCAACTGATTAACTGTTTATCAAAATAGACAAATATTTTATGATTTATTTTTGACATCTTGCATAGGAGCCAAGAAAAGCTAGTTCAAACTTGACTGTGTGAGGGCCCTTCTATTACAGGTTTTACGGCAACTGGTTTCGCGCGTTCTGGACTGAAATTGGTGAGAGAAGAGGATAAAAACTCGTATATTGTTGTAAGAAATGACAAACGGAAGAAGGAATAAGGAATGGAAATAAAAAAAATCCGGAAGACGGAAGAAGGAATAAGGAACAGAACTTTCAAATCCAGAAGAAGGAATGAAGTATAAAAGTAAAAATAAAAAAACCACTCGGAAGAAGGAAGAAGGAACACATTTTGGAAAAAATCTAATTTTGTTGACAACTTTTGATGAAACATGTAGAAAAGGAATTTCGGCTGAATTAAGCAACATTTTATGGGTGGTGTAAGTTTAAAAGACTTTTAAAATTCAGCAAAAATTTTGACTAAATGTCGGTCAAGTTTTCCGGAAGAATGTGAAAAAATCCGGAAGACATAAGAAGGAATACAAACAAAGACCCGGAAAAGAAAAAGGAATTACGGTCATCTCTGTAAAGAATATGACTTTTTTCAAGATTCGCAATCGCAAAAAACCAAAATTTCGGAAATTAAGAAAAATATAGTTCGGGAGTTAAATTTCCATAAATTTAAGCAAAGATGTGATGTTCAGCTTCAGGAACTCCAAAAATGAATGACAAAACACTAAAAATGCTTTTTTTCTGTCGAAAAAGGTTGAGTAAGAGTTTTCAATTCGAGACGGGTTCTATGGTCAGGCTTGATTCAAGTTGGCATCATAGAATAAATTCAAACATTGACTGAATGAGAAGGAAATGAAGGTTTTCTATGAATCTCAACTGCAGAAATGAAAATCAGAAGTAGGTCAGACAGTTCCATTAAAGTGGTAGCTGAGGTTTAGAACACACTTTCAAAATTTTAAATTTCAAAACAGGAATCGTTCCAGAAGAAAGAGAAAAATCACGAAGATGGAAGAAGAAGGAAGGAATAAGAAATTCCGCTCATTTCTGTTCCGTGGGCGTTGAAGCAGTTTTAAAGTTTCAAATGTTACATAATTTAGTAAAAACATTGTCTAATTGGTTCTGTATTTTTAGACCTAACAAGATGTTTTACAAAATATATCCAATGGGATAGGATGAAAATTAAATATTGTGGAGAACCTAAGATATTGAAACTAAAAAAGCAAAGAGTTTTATGGTAGCAATCATGTTACGGTAGATGGATCAGTTGGAACAAAGAAATTGTAAACAAAGGATGATTTTATTGTAAGCATGTTAAGTTTCTGAATGTACTGTGCCACTGTTTTCAGATCAAAAATTAGTATTTTTATAAAGTATTTATAGAGTATTTTTATAGAGTATTTTTATATAATTAGTATTTATATATATTTTTTTTAATAGCAGAAAAAAACATTGAATCGGGTTTTTGGACAAAAGACAGCGCTGGAACATGAATGGATATATACTGCTCCACATAAATATACGTTCACCCATGAAAAATGGCGAAGTTTATATTTTCTCAAATCATGCCAATAAGAGTTGTAGCCGTCTGGACCATCACAGTTGATATTTTTCTTGTCACAAAAGATAATCTGAAACTGTGCTGAACATTTAGGAAAGTTGTCGTAATCTGTATAAAAGATAAACTTCAATTTTAGAGATGCAATGTCAGAGGAGGTAAATGCGAGCAAACTCCAGACGTTTTTGGGGATGGATTGATGTCAGCATAAGTGCTTCTTTCATCTTTTGATAATTGATGAACTTGCTTTTCTGGATGACACGTCAAACTGTCTCATTCGATACAGTAAGCTTCATGAAGCTTCATGCAAACGACTCTTGATTTTGGAACAACTGGTCACAACACTGAGCGCTTTTCATAGGATTTGGCGTTTTTCTCAGACTGTAAGGAGAGAATGACGTCCGCAAAAGTTCTTTGTACCGTAACTTAACGAATTCTTGACAAATCGATTGACCACGTCTGAGGATCTTCCTAAATTCTGAGCAATCTGACAGTTTGAAAAGTTTTGGGCATTTTTGGCTGTAATTTGACCTTTTTTGAAATCAGTTAGTAGTTTTTTACGTCACATCGTTTGAACAGACGAAGGGAATACGAAAAGTTCAAAATTTAAGAGTATGGTGCTGAAAAATGGGAAAAAATGGGGGTGAACGTATCTTTATGTGGAACCGCAAAAGTCAAAAAATTGAAAGAATGACAATAAAAATATTGCTCATTCTCATTCGGAATTCGCTCTGGGTCCCAAAAGTCTTTCATATCGTACTCTTTCGAACCCCCGGTCGATATTTTTTAGAAACTGCAAGTTTGGGGTTTTCGCCATTTTTCATGGGTGAGTGAACGTATATTTATGTGGAGCAGTATAGGTTTAAAATATGCCGCTTTCCTCTCATATACTACTGCTTTTATATTTTCCATCTGTTTTATACAAACTAGTCGGAAAAGAAAAAGTGTGTACAGTGGAACATTATCCGAAAAACGAAAAGTCAAGAAATTTTCCGACGCCAAAGAATAGATAAATATGATCTTTTGCTAGCAGGACAAAACTTTGGAACTCTGTTTATTTACATAGTTTGGAAGATTCAATAATTTATGGAAACATTTTCAAAATCTGACTATGATCTTTAGTGAACTCTGTTGGTCGTAGTCAAAGGTCCCAGAATGATAACTACCATAACTTAAAAATATGTAATTGTGATCTATCATTTAAAAAATCGGTGTGGGAGCATAATTTCAGAATTTTTAATCTCATTTTGATTTAAGATTATTCTAATGAGTTCAAAAAATTAAGGAGTGGTTCAAGAATCCTGTGTGGTCCTTTCCGATAGAAAAAATCCCTAAAATTCCAATTTTCAGATTTGTTACAGAAAAAATGTATGACCTCTCTCAATTTTTAATATTACTAAAAGTTCTTTGTCTCAAAAGAACCGTTCTTCACTTTGTGTAAACCACAGTTTTTATTTGTCTGATAAAACTTTCTTTAATCGAAAAACCTCAAGAATTCCAAAAAAAAAGTCGACAACTTAAAAATTCGGTACCTGAAGAAAAAAAAACGAAAAAAATTATACAGTTCGTTTATTCGGTTATTGCAGTGTTTATTTCTGTTCATAAAATTTTCTGGAGATTTCAGTTTTTGGTATTTTCCTGAGATGGAGGTTTAAAAATAGAAGCCCATGGGCTTCAATTAGAGAAAATACGGTATGTTGAAATGCCGATATTCCGAGCTTTTGAAAATCGGAAAATTTCGATATTCCGAAAATCTGAAAATTCCAAAATCGAAAAATTCCGAGGTTCCGAAAATTCTAAAATTGAGAAATTCCGAGGTTCCGAAATTCCGATATTCCGAAAATCCGAAATTTCCAAAATCGGAAAATTCCGAGGTTGCGAAATTCCAAAATTTTTAAAATCGGAATTTTCGACATACCGAAAAACTTCGAAAAAGTCATTCCAAACATCCGAACATAGAAACTTATGTTTCAGCCAAAAATGTGAAAAAATTGAATTTTAAAAAACTTGTGACACAAAAGTATCACCAGAAGAAAAGAAATATATTCTTCTTCAAAGGTATTCACGGTATTTTTTGGGATTTTTCATCCTTTTGAAAATTTATTTTTGGAATTCTGTGTTTTGCTTTTATTGTTTAGCTTATCTTCATTGAAAATTTTGAATTTCAATTTTGATTTTCAATTTATTATTTCCAAAGTAGCATCAAGGGTTCGTTACACATTTAGGGTTCTTTGTTTTTAGGTTTCCACCGGTTGAGGGTGCTGAGCTTATTTCTGTTTAGAATCTTCAACATTTTAACCCGTTTTTGCCTTAGCCCAATTTATGTCGGTGCTTGGCACTAAAGAGTTTTTTCTGAATTGAAATTATAAAATTATACGATAATCTACTTCAGGAAGAACTGGGTATCAAAAATCGAAAAAAAAAACCCGAAGAATACTATTCAAGTGCTGAAAATACTTTTGAGGGCTGGGTGTTTTAGGGGTAATATAAGCTGGGGTAAATCTTCATATTTTCCTTTTTCCTTTGGAGGGAAATAAATTTGAATCCACTCTATATTGCTTCCGACGAACGACAGCAGATCTACGATTCATTTTTTTTTTGAAATGTCACGTAAAAAATATTTGGCTATGAAAATCAGCAAATTTTTCAAAAATCCTACATAGTCACGTGATTTGATAAAAAAACCCCATGCCCCCTTTCGTAGATTTACGGGCGTCTCCTAGTTTCCCTTTCATGTACTGAGCCTCTACGTGGCGAAAGGGATCAACAGACTCCCTAGTCTGACTAATCAGTATATTTTTGAAACTTTATTTTTCACAATTTTTTCATACTTGACCTTTTAAGGAAAAATTAGAAGTGTAGCGACGAGCCAGTAAAAAACTAGGTTAAAACGCGCCGAATGCGCACCAGGTTGCTGGTAAAGCATTTTATATATAAGAAAGATAAGAAAGATACCGAAAATACTCTAATAGAACGCCGTCCTTAACTTTCACCTTTAAGGTCATATATTTCGGCTCCTGTGTTGATATCAAAAAGTGGTCAACTGATAAAATATTTGTGGTATTATGATAAGCATGTTGTCAGTTTGGCTGAGCACATGATGCCTTCTGTTGTAACATGACTTTTCGCATTGAACATGTCCACGCCGTATCATCTTTTTTCTATTTTTCACTGATCAAACATCTGATTTATAATTAAGAACATAGTATTTCATAGTAAAAACATCTGGGAATAATTATCATAATCCATCTGACCAGAAAAAGAGACACTTTATTTTACACAAGCATTTTATAACAAACATTTTATCGGTGACCA